GGACTGGCTGTATACCTTTCTCACCACCTGAAATCATGCCATGTGCTGAATCTGACGATCATCAGAGAAATACAAACTGCTGAACTCAAGTGACCAGGAACACGAGGAAGTTACAAAATATTGAGAAATCTTGTAAAATGTTTGTGGTTCTTCTTTCCTATAGCCATTCCCGGAAGTCCTGTTGTCCCCTCACTGTTCTGATCATGACAGTGGGTCACCTGTGGTTCTTAAATATAAGAAGTACATGTTTTAATCTAATCACCTTTCTTCTGCCTTTTGAAGGAGCAAGAGATTGTTCTAAGACATGATGGCTGCCCGACCTGCGTGCTGGGCCAAGAGGTTGCTTCCCACTAACCTGACCTGCAGACAGTATGATTGTACTCCTGCCCTGCCTCCCGCTACATGCTGGTTTCTGGACCAGGCCATTGTCCTGACCTGGTCAATCACATAGAGAATTTACCTGTACCTGGAACTAGTCATGTACGAGTACTGGCGACTATCTCACCTTGTTCTGTATAATTCTTGGGTGCCTTCCAAGCACACAGGGCCACTTTGTCTTGCAGCTGCTCGAGGCACGCCTACTATGTAAGTTTCCCTTAATAAATGCTACAGTTACCAGACCGGAATGGTCAGTTCAGTCTAGAGATCTTTCCCTGAGTCTGCACCTACTAAGCTTTCAAACAGTACCTTGTACAGATAGAGCTATTCTCAAGGGCAAGAGTCACAATAAAATGGAAACAGTCCATGTATTGCCACGTATAGGTGGGAAATGTACTGTATGAACCATGACCCAAATAAATGAAAAAAGACTTTATTATAGTTCCCCTCCCTCCATACTTACCTTATTTGATGAACATGATTGCTTTTGTGTTATTATCCAGGCCTTCAGCTAACAGCTAACATTAAAAACGTTATTTTCATTTGCTTCACAACTTCCCAGGATTCCAAAAATTTTATCATTCTTGAACACTTTGTTTACATGGCTCAAAAAATTTAAACTATATAAAAATATCTAAAAAAATAATTTTCCCTCTGAGCCCTGTGTTCATCCACTCCTCCATACCACCACCCCAGGCAACACTTTTTAAATCCTTACCTGAGGATTATGTTTTTACTGATTTTAGAGAGGAAGGGAGAGAGAGACAGAGACAGAGAAACATCAATATGAGAGAGAACATCGATTGGTCGCCTCCCCATTGTACCCCAACCGGGGATTTAACCCATAACTTAGGTATGTGCCCTGACCAGGAACTGAACCCTCAACCTTTTGGTGTACGGGACGACATTCCAACTGAGCCTGCTGGCCAGAACCCAGGAAACCATTTTTGTTAGTTCCCTGTGTATTCTCCCAATGTTTCATTTTAAAAGACAAATATTTTGAGATAAATTCACATACCATACAATCTACCCATTTAAAATGTACAGTTCAATGGTTTTTAGTATATTGATAGAGTTGAATAAATCATCATCACAATCAATTCTGGAACATTTTCATCACTCCTAAAAGAACCCCTGTGCCCATTAACATTCACTTATTTCCCCCAGTTGTTCCCAGTATTCCCTTCCAATCTTTATTTTGGTAAGGTCCACAGTAATGTCTCCTCTCCTGTTCTTAATATTCGTAATCTGAGTTTCCTCTCTTGTTTTCCTCGGTCAATCTAACTAAAGATTTGTCAACTTTGTTGAAGCTACTTTTGGTTTCACTGATGTTCTCTATTGTTTTCCAGTGTTTCTTTTTGTTAATACAAATGTATACACTGTAATTTTCCTTCTTCCTTATGTAATAGGAAGCAAACTATATGCCTTGAACACTAGTCTATTCTGAAGGATGTTCTTCGGGTGAAGGAAAACCATCTTAAATAGATCTGAAATGTGAGAAGAAATAAAGAGCCACGAAAGTGGTAAATGATTATATCTTAATAAACACTAACTAATTAAGTATTAATGTCTTGTGAAACAGAAAAAAATAAGAATGTACAACAATAACATACAAATGAGGAAGGAGGTAAATGAGGTTAAATGTATTATCTAAGGGAGGGAACATGTACAGCTTCACTTCAGAGTTTCAGGTCATGAGTGAGTATCGGACAAACTCCTACTGCCTCCTCAGGTTCCAGCGGCGCTTCCCCTCTCCCCAGGGAGCTGCCTGCCCGGCTTTCTGAGCGGGCTGGAGGCCGAACTGAAGCACACCAAGCCTATCTGATCTGACCTGCCCCGTCACCTCCCAGAGTTGGCCACCACGTCACATCACTGAGCACGAGACCTGGCTTCCCGAGAAGTTACCAAAGGACGCAGTGACACGGCCATGTGTGGCGAACCTTAGCCAATGGGAAATGGGAGATGGGAGAAGTTGGGAAACTGCATTACTCCTCCTTTCTTCCCCCCAGTGGACTGCTCACAAGGGCAGTTTCTCCTCATAAACCTCCTGGAGAAGTCCCACACTGTAAGTGAACGCACTTGCTGGGACACTCCTATGAGTCTTCACTGCTTGTGGCCAAGCCTGGCCTCTGCGGTAACATACTGCATTGATTTTTTTCCTTACCTCACTTCCTTCCCCTTTCTTCCCTACTCTCACTTCCCTGCACCTCCCAAATAAAGGAACAGTACCTTCATCTTTGTTTCGGATTCTACTTCCTATAGGACCCAAGTTAAGAAATTTATGTGGATTGTAATTTTTAGGGTCATCACTAAAAGAATAAGAAAAGTACATAATTTCCAATCTAGTTGAGGAAAAACCTAGAATCGTAGAAAAGACTCAATCCCAAAAAGGCAAGAAAGAAAAGAAAAATAAAGATGCAATAGTTGAAACAAATAACATAAAGTGAGACATTAGATTTAAACCCAAATACATCAGTAGACACATTTAATATAAATGGAATAAATGCTTCAGTCAAAATATAAAGATTGTCAGGCCAAATTAAAAAGAATATGAAGTAAAATGTATACACTTAAACTATTTAAAATAAATCTAATTTTCATAATGAATTTTAAGTATTAAGAGGTTTTCTAACTAATCAAATGGCAGAACACAGAAAGGCCTATTATTCAGAAAGATTTCTAAGGCTAAACAGTTTCCTGCACTATTGTAGTACATTGTGGAGTTCGAAAAGGAAAATTCAAAGTCAGAACAATCTTAAGATCACCATCTCAATTTCTGTAATCTTAAATGAGAGTTGTCTTTATAATTGTGAAAAAGAAAACTCCTCCTCAAGCCTAATTAAAATATTCACCTTAACCTTATCAATTATGCAAATGAAACCTAAAACTGTAGAAAGAGATAAAACAGCCAAAATAAAGCACTGAATATTCCTTTTATGCACAGTGAGGGTGTGTGTCTAATATATCTCTAGTAATTTTTCAATAGGTGACCACTCTTGACCTTTCTTCTAAGTCAGGTATGGGGAGATTGAACACTGCTCACGTTAAGGGCATCTCCTATAAGCCACTGATACCTCTGCTGACAGAGCGGAAGGAAGAAGGCAGCAGTTACCTAGTTACCTAGAGCTAAAACGTGTTTCCACATAAAGAATCACTTAGGTATGATTCGTGGGAGAAAGATCTGTCACTCTGGTCCCATGTCTTATGTGTGTGTGTGTTGCGTGTGCACACGCTGCTAAAAATGCACATTCTTGGGCTCATCCAAGATTTATTGAATAGACTCTCCAGGGCAGGATTACACTGTCTTTATTGATAACATACTTCACTAATAATTATTATTTATAAAATCATGAATATCACAGTGAAATTCAATCTAAAATGACTGAACTTATAGATTTAAAATCAACATACTTTTGCCATGAAGACCCGAGTCACTCTCACCCGGGTAGACCCTGAAAAGAGCTCTGCCTCTAATGGCGCATCTGTGTTCAGCCTGAAACAGACCTCATCATACTTTCTCACCTAAGTTTTCCTGATGACCTGGAGTGGAAAAGTTAAAGAGGATTAAGTTAAATCGTCCCTGGGCATGAACCTGAATGAGGCTAACAGGGATCAATGCCACAAGTTTCATTAGTTTAAACTATATGGTAAATCAGTCTCAGGTACCAAACGACCAAAATGAGGGTATTAGATAAATTCCATTAAGTAAAATAGTTTACCAATTACTACAGAAGGAGCTTCAAAGTAAAAGGTTTAGCATGGGAGAGTGAAAAGGTTAACAAGACCTTTTCCTTCACTGCATGTGAATCACCTTCAGCTAAGCTTTCTAGCTCTATTGTCACAGTAACAGATAAAGGAAGGAATGTCAACTACATTTCTGGGCAACTTTGCTTTTGGTAAAAATGACTCCTGATTACTAAATTGTAACTGGACTGAATGCACTATTAATAATCTGATAAGAACCTCAGGCTCCAGGCTTTCCTGAGTGTGGGGACTCTTGAAAGCAACGGGTCCGTTACGGAGGACCTGGAAGTAGTTCTTATGGAAGTTAGAAGAGATCTTGGCTCCTTGAGGCCTATGGAGGGTCTTGTGCACCGAAAAAGTGCTGGCTGCGCTGCTGCAAGGGCTTCCACGGCTACGGACCTGCCTGAGGCGCCCTCCTGGCAGCCTGTCGCTGCTATTTAATATCCCCTTGAGTGGACTGCCACGCGTGGCTGTGGCAATCTTGCAAGTTTGCATGTTTAAGCCTAAAAAGACCCCTGTCGGTCACTGCCACAAATAAGTCCAAATGCATTAATTATATAATTATATTCTGACTGGTTAGTTAAACCAAAAAAGATCCTTTGCATGAGTGCAGCAGCATATAATTTCATATGCATTAGTTTCATAAGTATTGATTTTTATCCTATACTGAATTTTACTTACACTTAATTTTATTTTTACCATAAAATGAATAAAAATGAGTAAGTCATTGAAATTCTGTATTTACCTTAATTATAAAACAATGAAATCATCACATCAATTTAATCATTATAACTAACTTAAATACAATAATATAAAATGACTTTGAAAACATTGAAATTCAAAATAACAGAAAATAAAATTAACTAAAAGAAGTACTGTTCAATTCCAGGTGTTTCTGTGACAGGACACAAATTTTAAAATTTAATAAAATATTACATTTTCTTGGCGAAAAGGTTCTTAGGTTTTTCCTTTTGAAATGCTTTTCATGTTTTAATGAGAGCTTCTTCTAAAGGATCATTTTATTTACAGTTGCAAATTTCTTAGCACATTCAATATGTACTATATGCTGGAGTCAAATACCTGAAGGAGTTGGAGTATTATGAATACAGCCAGGACAACAGTGGAGAGAGTCATGAACAAAAACATCACAGTCCACACAGAAAACATTTTGGCACACAGTGCAAACATAGACCTGCAGTGAAAAAAGAAAAGTAAACTTCAAAAGTAGTTTCCAAAAGTTAAGAAGAGACAGTCAAGCTGCTTGATTTCAAGTTGCTTTGCTCATTCGATTTTATCTCTTATCAATTTCCCCCACCTACTTTATTACTTCCAATGTACTATATATTCTCAAATCTAAGGCAATTTTATTTCCAAAAATAATACTCCTTCAATGAGGGAATATCTTTGTTTTTGAGTCCTTAAAGTCTCTTCTAATACAGCATACTTTCAATTATGTCATTTTAAGTAACTAGGGAAGATGTATGAGTTTGAAATTAGTGCTAGTTTTGAATTCTTAAAAAGTCATTTGACGGGTTTAATTAAAAAGAGAAGCACAACAATGCTACTCACATTTAGTTATTGGGGAATGAAAGACCTCACAATTGCAAAAGTTGTATTACCCTTTTAATTAAACCATTTAATTAATGGTTTAATTAAACCATTAAAGAATATGGCAAAAGGCATGTATATATAAGGCAAATAAAAAGAAAAAACCCCGTCATTATTCTAGTAATATTAATTAGTATACAGATACTTCTACTGGGGTAAAATTTCCAAAGCAGCATCATACAGATTCAAAATCATTAAATCTTAAACAACACAGAAATAAAGATGACGTGTTTTTAAAAACCATCAAACAGCTGGCCTGCAAACCAAAAGGTCGCTGGTTCAGTTCCTGGTCAGCCTGGGTTGCAGGCCAGGTCCCTGGCTGGGGGCATGCAAGAGGCAACCAATCAGTGTTTCTCTTGCAAATCGAGGTTTCTCTCTCTCTCTCTCTTTTTTCCTCCTTTCCTCCTTCTCTAAACATAAATTCTTAAAAATCTAAAAAAAATCTTGTCAAATAATTCAAAAAGTAGTTCTGGTGAGGATGAAGCTGCTGACATCACAGAGGCATATAAAACTTAATAAAATTGTTTTATGAAATGTGAGAGCAGAATAAACAATCTTTTACAATCCCACTAATATTTTACATAGTTTATAATGTATAGTTTTAAATATGGACATGTAACTAAATTAAAAAAATTAAAACTAGACAGTTATCTATCTTATTTGTGTCTTTATATAAGTTTATACATTCAAATTGGTCCCCCTCAAAAATTTTAAAAATATGTTCTCATTGGCAAAATGAGAGAATGACCTTTGGTCTGTGGCCACCTTAGGTAACTCCACTTCAAAATGGGCTACGATAGAGCCTAGAGCACAATATGGAGGAAAAAAACATTTAGTACTTTAAAACTAAATGTAGTTTAGCTTGCAACCTGAAGACAGTTTAAAGTACTAAAATATTTTCGTAGCAAAATTAGAATGCAGAATTATGAAACAACTATTTAAACTACTGTGCTATCATTTTATCTCTACCTACTGTTACTGTACTTCTGAGAAATAACTTGATATGAGTCTGGTCTTCAATAATTTACTGAAAACTTAAGCTACTATGCCCTCAATATTTCTTGTACAATACTTAATAATTAGAAAGAGCATGAACTTACATGTTGGTCTTTCAATTCCCCCTGACATCCGTAACAAAATCTGAAAAAATTTTAAAATCATTTTGTTTAGAATTAACTCATTAAAATAGCTCAGCAAAATCTCAGTAACAAAACCCTTTAATTAGTAAGTAATTTTACTTACAATTAATTTAAACATGACTTTTAGGAGAAAAGAGTTAAAATATAGATAATTTAAGAAAAGTCTGTGGTAAATTCCAAGGTTACCTAACGGCCTAAAAACCTTACTTTAAAAAAAAAATGTACTTCTCTTCAAGAAAGAAGTTGGTCCTAGTGATTCCACCCCAGGCATTACACAGGAAACAATAATAAATGTATAGAGTTCACGTTTTAAAGGTAACTTAAAAACTGGTACAATATGTTATACACAAAACTGGTTTACACCACATGAACAGAATCACAAGTTTGGTTTTGATTCTTTTGTTCCTCTTAGTATTCAGTTGTACTGTACTTCCAAATTTAAAATCAGAAGAAAAGCTGTTCAAACTAAGCAATAAATTTTGTATTTTTATAGCAGCAAAAAAATTTTTTTTATAAATTTCATCAAAGTTAAACATGAGCATGCTTTCTGAACTGGGATTATACGAGGGACTTAAACTCTACAGAAAATGGCCTTGGCTGGTGTGGCTCAGTAGACTGAGTGCCGGCCTGTGAACCAAAGGGTTGCTGGTTCAATTGCCAGTCAGGGCACGTGCCTGGGTAGTGGGCCAGGTCCTCAGCTGGGGGAATGTGAGAAGCAACCAAACATTGGTGCTTCTCTCCCTATCTTTCTCCCTCCTTTCCCATCTCTCTAAAAATAAATAAGTAAAATCTTTAAAGAAAGAGTCGATTCACTACTTTTTAAATAAATAAATAAATAAATAAATAAATAAATAAATAAATAAACCCTACAGAAAATGATTTGAGTGACTGTTTTTTACCTCTCCCCAAGACAATAGACAGCTGGTAGAATTCTAGATTGACAGAAGTTAATTTATTGCATATAATAGATGCCTACCGGTTTTAATTTTCAAGGAATGGAGTTAAAAGTTCTTAAAAACTTATTACAAAAAATAACAGTTCCCTGCATATCCACCCCCACATTTCATTTCCAGTTCCCCAGAGCAAACACTTTCAAAACTTAATTGTCTGATAGCTACGTATGCTTACAGTGCTCTCTCTTGTATTGGCTATGCATTGGCTATGAACCTCTTATACAGAAGATGAGAATTTAATTCTCTTTCAACCCTCCTGAATCAATAGCATGTATATGCACAACTAATGTCATTCTCAGTTCTATGTAGTTAAATAATTTTAGATAGAATAATTAAATGTTTAGTTTATTATGACTATATAAACATATTCAGCTGAGACATGTAATACAACCTCTCTTCTAAAACATTTTTTCCTAGACTTAACCACTGTAGTTATTCACAAGCTTATCTTCTATGGAATTTCCATTAACTCAGCCCCAACACTTCCCTGTAAAGCCTAAACACTCTCTCATATGTTCAACTACATCAGGATATACATAGTTTTTGTCTTCCCAGTGACATCTCTCCTGAAGCACCCTGACCTTCTCCAAACTGGACTGATAGGTCTCCATGTATGAAACACAAGCGTCATTCTGGGGTTTCCCCTTATCATCATCCCAGGCCTTTCTTTAGCCAGTCTGAATTAGATAGATATTCATATTCTCCTTCATTCATTCCTTATTAGTTCCTTCGAATCATCTCTTCCACAGCTTCCCAGGAAACTCTCTTTTTGGGACAAGTCTGAAAATGTCTTTATTCTACCTACATTCAATTGGTGTGTTGGCTGGGTATATAACTTAGGTTGCTAATAGTTTTTCATTCCAAATTTTAAGAGAAATCACTCCTTGTCAGCATTCAGTGTTACTGATGATAACCAAAACAATCTTAATTCCAGATTATGTGATGTAATTTTCCCTCTCCAGCAATGTTTAGGGTTAGTATTTTGCTGCATATTCTGAAATTTCACAATGATATATTTTAGTGTAGACCTGTTTTCCTTTAATATGTTAGACACCTGACAGTCCCTTTCAATCCAGAAAGTTCTGTCCTTTAATAGTAGAAAATGCCCTTGAACTGTTTCTCTTCTATTCTTCATTTGATCTTTTCTTTACTTTTCTATTATTTTAATATTAGACCTTCTGGATAAATTCTCCAGTTTTAGCAAATGCTAAAAAGCAGGGTTTTTTTCCCCTCCTTTCACTTTGGAGAGCTGATTCACTAGTATACCACCACTCTCACTATAATACATACATAGGTGTGTTTAGGGCAATCACTGTATTTTGCCATGTATGATGCACTCCTGTGTATAATGTGCACTATGTTTTTGGCTCAAACTTTCAAGAAAAAAAATCTTTCATTTTAATTTTTAAATTATTTATATTTAGATATTTGTTTTTTGTATTATAAAGGAATTTTAGCATTTATTTTTTAACATATTATGGTACAAGAGATTTTATGTAACAAAATACAAAACACAAGGACACAAGGTATTTCAGATACTACTCATGTATAATGTACATCCTTATTTTTCCCTCAAAAATCTGGGCCAAAAAGTGCACATTATATACAGCAAAATGCGGTGACAGATTTCTGGAAATCCAGATCTATTTAATGAGTCATTTCAATTATAACCAAGGCATTACACATCTCATTCTCAGTATTAGAAATAATTTTGTCCAAGTTAATGTAACTTTTTAAATGTAATAACAATGTATTGCAACACTCCCACTTTTAACACATAAATTAACCCAAACACATGTACCTTTCTCCATTATGTTCTTCTAGGGGAATTTCTTGAAAAGCATCCAAAGGAAATAAATGATGGTAAGACCGTGCCAAATGGGGAGCAGACACCAAAGTAAGACCTGACACATAAAGCAGAAAGACATGTTTAATAGCCCAAACCTCATAAAGACAAGAGCTGAAATGTCAAATGATATAATTTATGCTAAATAGTTTCAAGTTGTTTTTTTTTTAATTGCAGTTATTCATTTCTTCAGTTTACCTGTGGCCATAAAAGGAAATTCCAAGATGGATGAAGGCTTAATTTGTCACTAAGTGTGTGATTTCTCTGCCTATTTGGTCACTAATAAATAAGATAAAGTTCTATAATTCTGTTAGTTTAATTCCTCATTTTTCTTATATACATTTACTTTATGAAGTTAAGAGCTGCAAAAATGCCTACCAGATCTGCTGCATTTTCTTTAAAGAAAGAAATCAGCCCTGGCTGGTGTGGCTCAGTGGATGGAGCGCTGGCCTATGAACCAAAGGGTCGCCAGTACGATTCCCGGTCAGGGCACGTGCCTGGGTTGCAGGCCAGGCCCCTGGTAGGGTGTGTGTGAGAGGCTACCACACGTTGATGTTTCTCTCCCTCTCTTTCTCCCTCCCTTCCGCTCTGTCTAAAAATAAATTTTTTAAAATATTTTTTTAAAAAAAGGAATCAGGAAACTCCTTGGGAATGCCAGATTTATTCTTAGAAATGAAGTACCTGACACTCAATAAAAAAGTAATTTATTTCTCTTCTCATGTTAAATCCAAAAACATAGAAGGCAGATCTTAATATTTACATATATTTTAATAGCAATATAGGTAAGAAGTTATGAAAGATTAGTTTACTAAATAATAAACGGTTGGTTTCTTACCACAGATTTTACATTCAACAGGAAGCTCACAATACTTTGCCCGACACTGTGGGCAGAAATAGCCTCCTAATGTAAGTCCTGGCTCAGTATTACCATCCAAATGCCTGTGGGGGAAAACATTACTTTAAAAACGTGATATATTAAGATGTGAACAGTTAGAGCAAACAAAGTATGCTACTTTGATTTTAAAATCATGAAGTTGTTTCATAGCCCACATATGTTCATTTCGTTTTTTGGTGTGTCTGCATTTTTGTTCTGAATAGTTTGCATTGTCTTTGAATTCACTAATCTTTCTTTCTTCAGTGACTAATCTGCTGTTAAATTTTTCATCTTACACATTGTATTCTTCATCTCTAGAATTCTTATTTGGGTCTTTTTTCTGTCTTCTATAACTCTTACCATTCTTATCTTGTTCTCCTCTACTTTCCTGAACATATATGTAGTATACATATAATGGCTGATTTAACACTCTGTCTACTAATTCTACCTATTGTGTTATTTCTGGATATGTTTCCATTCTATGATTTTTTTTTCTTTATTATGGGTATTTTCTGACTTCTTTCATGTCCAGTATTTTTTTTTTTTGGAAGACATTAAAAACTTTATTTCTAGACACTAAAATTTGAATTTCATGTAACGTTTGAGTGTCATGAATATTTTTCTCCTGTTTTTTTTCCAACCATTTAAAAATGTGAAAGCCATTCTTAGCTCATGGGCTGTACGAAAACAGACAGCCAGCTGGATTCGGCCCGTGGGCTGCAGTAGGTAACTCTGCCCTGGGGAGTCACCTCTGGTAGCCCTATGAATGCCTGGTAATTTTTGATTGGCTGTCAGACATTGTGATTTTTGCTTTGGGGTAGTGGACGTTTTGGATTCCCTTAAATATGCTGAGACATTTTCCTAGAATATACTTAAGTGACTTGAACATAGTTGGATCTGTTCAAGACTTGCTTTTAAGTTTGTTAGGCTGTCCAGAGCAGCTGTTGATCTAGGGTTAATTTGGTTCCACTACTGGTCTCTATTCAATGCTTGTTGTGTTAAGAGTTCTCTCCAAACTGACTGGGGGGAACATAAACTATTCCCTGACCCATGTGAGCCAGAGGGATTGTTCTGCCTGCTCCTCTCCATGGCTCTCTCCTTGGCCCTGGTAGTTCGCTCACAGAAATGTGCTTACCAATACTCAGCTAATGATGCATGGGGCAGTCTCTGCAGGTCTCGAGAGCTCCGTGTGCAGCTCTTTACCCTCCAGTACTCTGCCCTTGAAACAACAGCCATTTCAGCCTCCCCAAACTCAGAACTTACTTTCTTCAACCAAGCAAAAACCCTCAGGATCTGTGTGGGTTTCACGAGACCCACATCATTTGTTTGCCCTCTTTTGGAGATTATTATCTGCACTGCTGGCTTCCAAACTCTGAAAACTTGTTTTATATATTTTGCCTGGTTTTCTGACAGGAGGCAAAAGGATAAATCCAGTCCCTATTACACCTCTATAGCTGGAGACAGTAGTCTTATTTGTAATTTTTAACAATTACTTTCTTAAATTTAATTTTGTTTTATAAGTATGTAAAATGTAAAGCTCCAAAATTAAAACAAGGTAATATTCAGAAAAGTCTATGGTCTATCTCTTTGCCTTTATTCATACACCATGTAGGTAAACATTTTTTTAGTTTTCACTTTTGATTTCCATTACTATTTTTGTTATTAATATAAGCAAGTACATATATTTACTCAAATTTCTACCCTCTTCTTAGATGACTGGTAGCATACCACACCATTTTTCTCTACCTTATTTTACTTAGTAATATATCCTAAAGACTGATGTAAAGGAGTATACAGAGGTCATCCTCACTCCTTTTGACAGCTATATAGAAGGTAATCTTTTACAAAAGCCATTACATTTCAAGCCCATCTTTTTAATTTATAACTTATAGAAAAAAATTAAAATATAAAAACATCATCATGAACAGTTTCCATGCTTTTACTTACGCCATGCTGAAAGAGGGTTTTGCATCCTGATCAGACAGAGAAGCAACTGTATGCTGAGGGAATCCTTCATAGAAGAAAATGTATTACTTTCTTTTTCCAAGTAAATAACAAAATCTAGGGCTAGGAATCTAAAAACATTCCTACCACAGAAGTTCTCTTTCCTGCCTTCTGGATAATGTTTACTATAGTATGGTCAAATGACTATTCCAGTTTACGAGACAGTAAATAGGGAGGAAATGGGGAACAGATCAGTCCATAAATATGGCCTCAGATTCTCAGTATTTTCTAACTTAGTAACAATTAACACATACTGCTTTTTAAAAAGAAAATGTTTGTAATTTTTAAATAGTTTCTGACATAATGGAGGAGCCTATTACATAATCTACTCCAACTTCATATAAGACATGTCTATGTTTAAAATTTTGGAATGCCCCCCTCAAATAGTTTGCTTTTCATATGAATTTTTAGATTTGAAGACAAGTCCAAGAAACAGAAATCATAAACAAAAAGAGATTTTTATTATGTAAAAATGTTAAATATATACATATCAAAACAAATAAAAGGTAAATGACCAACTGAAAAAATACTCCTATCAGGTGACAGAAATTGGATTGATGTTCTTAAATGTCTCTAACAAATCAACTTGAAGAACAAATTACTAAACAATTAAATGATAACTTTAAAATGGGCTAAGGAAATGTATCAATAAATCAAAAAAGGTTAGCCAACATAATATCTACAATGTACTGAGTATTTCTGTCAAGCATTATTCTAAAGGCTTCATCTGTATTAACTCAATCCTGGCAACACATAAGACAGATACTAATCTCATTTTACAGATGAGGAAATAGGTTAGAACAGTTGACTAGTACTATAAATAACCCAAAACAACACAGAAAAGCATTCCCTTTCACTGACAGTTAAAAAAAATGCATATTAAACAATGAGATTCTTACTAAAGTAAGGTTTTTTTCAATTATAAATGTAATAAATGTTCATTATACAAATTTTAGAAAATATAGGAAAAAAATTTTTTTGAAATGATGCAAAATCCATCTCTCCCCCTCTCCTGAAAAAAATCACATCAAGCAATTTGATGTACCTTCCTGCAAACTTTCTCTCTTTGCAGTATGTATTACATAGTTTTGATCAAACAGTACAGAGAATTTTGCAGCTTATTTGTTAAATTTCCTAATACAGCAAGGATATTTTTATAAACACAGTGTCTTTAGATCTTTTATGCCTTAATAATAAAAGAAAGCCAATAGTGTTCTTTGAGTGATAAGACTATAAATGGTCTTAATTTTCTTCTTACATCTCTGTAATTTTCCAAAATTGCTTCAACAGCATAATTTTCTCTAATTATAAAACATGTAAGTTAAAAAAAAAAACAAAACCCTCATATGTTGCCCTGGCCGAGTGGCTCAGCTGGTGGGAGCACTGTCCCACACACTGAAAGGCTGTGGGTTCAATATCTGGTCAGAGCATATACCTAGGTTTCAGGTTCAATTCCCTGTTGGGGCGCATATGGCAGGCAACCAACTGATGTTTCTCTCTCACATCAATGTTTCTCTTTCTCTCTAGCTCTCGCTCTCTCTTCCTTCCTCTCTCTCAAAAATCAATAAAATATATTCTTGAGTCAGGATTAAAAAAGAAATATTAAATGTTACAATAACTTGTACAAATGAAAACAGAAAGTCTAGTTTGAGCCAAAATATATTTTTCAAAGTGTCTATTTTAAAATCACACAAAATAAATACTTACCCATTCGAATGAGTGAGCATTCAGAACTTGAGCTTGCAGGAGGAGGACTAACATGATGCATCAGCAATTCTTTGTAATGGCTTTCATCTAAAATAACATGGTATGTACCTAACAAGATGAAAAGCAAAAGGAAATAAAATCAGCTTTCCAGGCACAGGAATGAATTACAAAATTTCTAACTAATTCTGTAAAAATTTTACTATCTGAAAATGTACATTTTCAAAATAAATATTTGAATTATGATTTTTCAAAAATCTTACTTAAAAACATCTTTAAATTGACTTCTCTAGGAATTACTATAATTACAATTTTATTAAAGCCAAGTTATAGGATCTTAACAAAGTATTACATTTAGTGGAATTTCTAGCTTTTCAAGAGTTATACTGCTTTTTCTGAACACTAACATAGCTTCTGAAAATTCCTTGCATTTTGAGATGATATCAACAGAATAATTGATCTATTTAAGATGACTACCCATATTTTGGACTTCAGTACATGAACTGATTTAAGTTTAGTAGCTTAAAAACAGGTTAAAACATCCTATTTTAATAACTTGTTACTTCTTACATAGTAATTATGAGTAAATATTAAAGAATTCTAGATAAATACCACCAGTTTCACGAGCAAGCACAGTGCAAACCCGAACTTCTGCAGACAATCCAATAACAGACACTCTAATTTTAGTTGCCTTTAGAGTCTTCATAAAATCCAAGTAAATGGACAGTTTGGGGGGGGGGGGAGAAAAAACATTGAACAATTAATGTTTTTGTAAAATAAAGAGAATGCTCTGAAAACTAGTAATAAATTTACTACAGAATTTTCTTTGAAGTTGTAACTTTGATTTTGATTATAAAAATATTGGACTACCTTGATTAGGTCATAGATATTAGATGGATCACAAGTTGTGAGGCTGCTAAAGATGATTAAGACTTCTCTACTTGTATGTCCAGGCATGTGTCTAAAGAAAGATAAAATACACTCCAATTAGGTGTAACACATTACACCAATGAAAATTTACCCAAAAAGGATAGTGTACATGGCTTATACACTTAGACTATAGAATATATCATTTGTTTCAACACTGCAAAGGAATGAGTTGAAATCTCTTAAGTTCTGTGGATAGAGTAGTAAATGAGACTGACAAAAGTTCCTAATGTCATGAAGCTTACATTCTAGTAGATTTGTTTCATGCAAAGTATTAACTCTCTTCCAATGGGTACATTGGAAAGTATGACAAGACCATATGAATCAAATTTAAGATGTATATATATGGCTTAACAACAGTAAGGTACTCCTTTCTTATTTAAAGTCTGTAATTTACCGTCATGGTGATTCAGAGTCATAATAATAAACATTTATTTTTGTGTACCATTTAATTAAATGATGGCTTATGGAATTTTAATATATGGTAAGCAGTTATGCTCTATACCAGCGATGTCTATGCTTTTAGGAGCAATTTTATCAGTTATTTATAGCCTTCTTGCTTATATCTCCATTGGTAGGCTCTCAGCTTTCACTTGTGGATGCTGCTATTGTGCCTACCTTTACTAGGTATATTATCTACTTATCATCTACTTTTAAACTAGAAATATATCTATTATGTAAACATAGAAAAACCTGAGTCAGGATAGACTAGCCAGGGACAAAATATATAAGCTTTAACTATATTGAATACTTCCTCTCAGATGTAAATTATATGCCACATACTTGAACTTGTTGGAAAAGAGTGCTATTAATGTGCAGATTACCAAAGAGGCTAATAAAAGTCAATAAATATACAACAAACTGAAAATTATTATACAAAATGAATTCCATATACAATCAATTTTCAAAATTTTTCATCAATGTATTTTTGTTCCACTATTACAATATTAATTATGTTTTTCTAAAACGTTAAAGAATATACCTCACCAATTAAAATGTAAAATAAAAATTACTATCATACTAAACATCATAAGTGACATTATGTATTTGTATTAATAATGATTTCATTATACCTGGGTTTACAGAGACATGTATTAACATATTATCATTTCAACTTAATTCATTCCAAAAAATTTGAAATTAATTATATATAATAAATGTAAAACACTAACTTTAGAGTTTGCATAGCCATATTTAAGGAGTTATAAAGAGATGGCTCTCCATGGCAGGTCATATCTACAGCTTTCTTCAAAGATGTTATGTGTTTTCTAGGGTTTCCTAAAATAGAAATGGAATAATTTATTTTTATTTATTTATCTTTATTTTTTAGTTTTTAAATGTTTTAAATTACAGTTAACATTCAATATTATTTTGTATTACTTTCAGGTGTACACCACAGTGGTCAGACAATCATATACTTTACAAAGAGTTCTCCCTGTTAATTTACTTTTAATAAAACCCTATATATGCATTATAGAAATTAATGTCTCTCCCAAAATTTACATATTTATGTTACAGAACAGAATCCCTTCAATTTGTTTTTAGCAACTTGAACTTTTAACAGAGATGTTTGTTATATAATGTTTCACTTCATACTTAAAAAATAATACAGCAAGTTTTCACTTAACATCATGATAGTTTCTGCGACTAAGAGAAACAATGTAAAATTAGACCAATTTTACCATAGGCTAGTTGATATAAAGAAAAGTTAAGTTTCTACGGCATCTCATCTATACTATAATGAAATGCTGCTGAACTTGATGTTACTCAAGGATCTGCTGTACAAATAATCTCTTCTTATCTATTAGTACACATTTTAAATAACATTAACCGAGAGGGCATAACTTTTTACCTTTAACATTTCCCTATTTCATTATTTTTAAGACTAATGTATATGTTCCCATTTTAACATCTCTTAAATCACAATGTGTCTTATCATCACTGGCAGCCATGCAGCATTTGTGACACAGGTGTCATTGCCTGCTCATGTGGGAACCTGTGAATGGCTATGGATGTGTTTTTGTTTCAACTGCATTATGTACATTGTTTGTGCTTTTCATGTTAAGTTTAACTGTGATTTAAAGTATTTTTAGAAAAGTGTAAACTTGTTATAAGTGAAGCAAAAATTCACTGATGGAAGCATGCCAGCAATTCTACATTTTTCTTCAGCGGAAAAACCCAAAAGCTTTATAAAAACCTAAGAAAGGAGGGTTTTCACAAATAGACAAAGCTGTGTTATCTTCTGTTATGGAAATAACACCTCAAAAGGTTAACATCTGAAAAGATTCTCTATCTCAAGTTAGGCAATACAAATGAAGCGAGGAGAAGCTACCAAATTCCTTAGAATAGTTGACAAACACAGTAAATCACCAAGAAGCTGGTGTGAACAAGTCGCAAACCATGTTTCCTTCTTGATGGCTGATAAATTAAAGGTATCTCATAAATAATGAAATATGAGATCCAATGAAATATGGTATTCTTCAGCCCTGGCTGGGTTAGCTGAGTTGGTTAGATCACTGTCCTGATACACCAAGGTTGTGGGTTCAATTCCCAGTCAGAGCACATACAAGAATCAACCAAGGAATGCATAAATGAGTGAAAAAACAAATCACGTTTCTCTCTCTCAAATCAATTTTTAAAAGTATATATATGATATTCTTCTGACACTTTTTTCCTGTTTTAACACTGTCTCCACATTACTGTAATTAACAACAATCAAAACATTATTAAATTGATTTTATCATATAGTATAATTCATTAAACTACCTACCTACTGTTGAATATTTAAGTTATTTCCAATTTGACACTATGTATTGTTAAAAAAGTATATTTGTTGAGTTAGGTTTTTTCTGCTTTTATAATATTTTCTAAGTATAATTCACAGGAACAACCATTTTTATGGCTCCACCCCCAACCCAAATGTTCAACTAATTAACCAGGTTATCACCCCTCTAAGTACCAATTTCTCTGTGGTCAGCAAGCAATATATTCCTTTTGAAACTTCATTTTGCTAATTTAAAATACATAAAACAATAAAATCTTGTTGAGTGGTTTATTTGCTTTTTATCACTTGTTTGGCTAACCTCTCTTTAGATTTTTTTTTTTGGTAATCCTGGTATGAATTATGTCTTCTTTGCCCATTCATCTTCTTGTACCTTCTTTGTGTTATTTATCCGAATAAATTACAGTATATGTGCTGCTGAAGTGGGCACAGAATAAGTTGGGTTTTTTTTAAACATTTAATAGATTTTGTTTTTTAAAGAAGTGTCAGGTTCACAGCAAAACTGGGCATAAAGTACAAAGAGTTCCTGCCCCAGACATACATTTTTCCCCAGACCCTACTATCTATTATCAAAAATGTTAGTTACAACTGATGAAACTACATTGAAACATCATTCTCACCCAAAGTCCATAGTTTACATTAGGGCTCACCTTATTAGACTTGTACATTCTATAAAGAGAATTAAGTTTTAAAATATTAACCATTTGCCATATTTAATATATATTCCACATATTTATTCTTGGAATCATAAACTTTTAGAAATTAAAAGTATCTCATGATGTCCGAATTCCTCCTTTCATCAGCGAGAAACAAATCTAATACGGTAAATGATCTGTCCAAAGACATACACCTACCAGTGGCAGGACCAGCACTCAAACCTCGATCTCCTGGCTCTCTCTATCCACTTCTTTTTCTACCATAAGATACACATATTTCTTTCATCTCCCATTGTATTGTATGAGAAATAAAACATACTACATTACCATCAGTGTGGTTTACAGCAGCCATTCTGATCAGAGAGAGAGAGGGTGCCTTCCACAGTTCTATCAGAATCTCTAGAGAATTTTTCATCTCTATGTGTATGACCTCTTGGCACACATGGAAAACTATTATTAATTTTGGGGAAAAGACAGTAGGGGTGGCACTACATCTTTTCTTTTCTGCACTGTGTGATAATCCAGCTTAGACCATGTGGTTCTGATGAAGCCCACCCTGCTTTCCATCCTGCTCCAGGCACAGACGTGTAATCCAGGCCTATGGACCAAACACTTCATTCCCTTGGCCACGTTGACTGTTCATGGATAGGCAGGTCATAAAAAGTAAGGGCAGTAGGAGTCCTCTCTGGGACCTGTGCTAAAGCTACAGACTACAAAAGTCATGTAGTCTTGGGGTATTAATAGACATCTTTTCAGCTCACAGAAAACCTGTCAGAGGAAGAAGCCCGGCAGAGCTAGGACCACTGGAAACAATTACACATGAGATCAGCCTATCTCAGAACATAAGCAAATAATTTCCTTTTTGTGCCTAAGCTAGTTAGATTTTTTTTTTTTTTTGATTACTTGCCACTGAGTTTGCTGGATCACTCCAGGCTAACATACATTTTACTCCTTATTGCCATAGTGGAAAATTATTAATAATAAAAGTATGTCATTACCTTCATGTGTATTAGTGAGGAAGAAAGGTTGAGAATGACATTTAAGAAAAAGTGTATTTCACAGAAAATAAAACAGAACTAGTGATGTAAGTTTGTAACAACATATAACAAAGCAAATAAAAACCTGCCATTATCTTTTAAAAGACTAAAATTCAGTTAGGCATGCCATGAAAACGGAAAAACTGAATCATTAACAATTTAAAATTTTTTCTTAAAATTTACTGATGAGAGAGAGAGAGGGAAACATCAATTTGTTTTTCTACTCATTTATGCATTCATTGGTTGCTTCTGGTATGTGCCCTGACCAGGGATCAAATCCATAACCTTAGTGTATTAGGACACTCTAACTAACTGAGCTACCCGGCCAGGGCTACAATTAACTTTTTATATTTTTCACGCTTTAAATTAGAGATTTAACTTGTAAAAAATTAATTTTAAAATTAAGTGGATTTTCTGAATGGTCACAATAATTTTACTACTTTTGGGATGAATGTACGTATCTTAAGTAAACATACTACTTTCATTGAAATACTATTCACCAATGTGCAGAACTCAATTTAAAACACTTCATCTTAGATACTGAGTTCAATAGAGAGTTTAATAGAGAACATATAGGAAGGCCTAATTTTACTTACGAGGCAAACTTATGAACAGGGTTACAAGGCTGGGTAAATAAAGCCCAGGTGGCGAATCCTATAAAGGTAATTGAGGCATACCTGAGAGTTCTGTCAGTTTTTCAGCTCTTTTACTCTTTGTCACAATAATTCCAATCTAAAAATAAAATTAAAAAATTATTAATTTAACAAATTATTTCTTTTTGATAAGAATGTACATTAATATAAATTAGTAATTACCAAAGAAATCCGCAACATGAGAAACTTTTTCTCATGATGCTGTTGACATAAATTCAGCTGAGTTCATTGCACATAATTTAACTTTTAGAATTACTTGCTTTTCATTGAAAAGTGTACCAAAAACTGGTACATAATCTGAATTACTTAATAATTCATAGAACAGATGATGAATGTTTTAAAAATAAATTATATTTGGCAGTAATATCAGGAATCTAATCCTGAATTTCATCACTTATTTACATACCTGACTAATAGGATTTTGATCAAAATACTCCTCTACGAAATACTCCAACAACTGTTCAAATAAAACAAAAAGGAAATACTAGGTAAGAACAAAATAACAATTACAGAGGACATCTTTTGGGAAACTTATTTATCAAGCATGATTTTTAAGTTTATAGATTTTCAAAAAATGTTCAGTAGCAAAAATATTAAATAAAAAGTGATAAAATTTGGAATATGAAATAAATAAAAAATAAAATATTATACCTGAATTTGAAATGGTAAGTGATGAGATAGGTTTAAGCTAGGCCTTAGAGATGGAACCATTGGACGTGTGAGACAGAAACCATCTAAACAAGGAAAGGATCCAATGAAGACAGAAAAGGAGAATGAGCAGAACTAGGGATGGGTTTTGGTAAGTCAGGAATAATCTGAATGTATTTATAAACTGAGGAGGTTAATTCAAGTGACTCAAAGGAGGAAAAAGATTCAATAAAGAAGAGGAATAACTGACAAAACAAGATTCTGACTTAGAGGAGAGGGTAGAAATTAACAGCATTAACATCACAATCCACCCCATATCTTTAGGGGATACATTCTAAGACCCCCAGGGATGCCTGAAGCTGCAATAGTTTTTTTCCTATACAAACATACCTATAAAAGGGTGTAATTTATAAATTAGGCACATAAGAAAGTAACAAAAATAACTAATAATAAAATAGAACAATTATAATAATATACTGTAATAAAAGTTATGTACATGTGGTTTCTGTGTGTGTCTCTCTCTAAATACCTTATTGTGCATACAGAGCGGACGCCCTGGACAGACGGACGACTCCTGTCTGTGTGGGACACGGCAGGACAGAGCAACACACTGTAAGATTTCATCACGCTACTCAGAACGACATGCAATTTAAAACTTATGAATTGTTTTTCTCTTGCATTTTCTATTTAATATTTTCAGACCATGGTTGACCATAGGTAATTGAATCTGGGGATAGGTGGGGGGACTACTGTGATCAGTTATTTTTGGGTATCATTTCCCTAAATGATCTGGTAGCAGCACTTCTACTTAGCTACAGTTTGTATTAACTCAAACTTAAAAAAACCAACTGTATCCTTTTAAAACTTCTCTTTTACCTTTAAAGTACATGTCAGTCTATTCGGCTTTAAATCTTGGTCTTCCATTGTTCTTGATCCATCTACTACCACATAAAGATGGCGCATCTACAAAAAAGAAGTACAAAGGAGGAAAATTTTCAAACACATTTTTGACCAAGAAGTAAAAATGGCACTTAGTATTCACATAGTCTATACATATATTTTAATATGATCTTTTAAAAGGTTTGTTGTTTCACAATTGTTTATTCTATCAAGCCAGAATACTTCTTCACCCCAAAATAGTTCTGTACCAGTAAAGGAAAAAAAAATAACATACCATTCCAAGTCGAACTTGTCCATGGTGCTCAAATACTCTGTTAAAATTATGCAAACATTTTAATGAACAACCATATACTACCCCCCCAAAAATCAATATAATTTTCAACTAAACTGCATCTTTTTAGTGAAACAAATTATTAACTTAAGGAATTCACATTATTATAGGCACTTTAGAAAGTCCTTGAAGACCCATTTCTCTGCCGAAGCACTAAGTTGCTGGTTCCTTCCCTGTATTCAGATTACAAGTCAGTTTCCCTGAAACACTGAGGAGTGAGTACAGGTGGACAGAAAGGCTTAAAGGAATATATTTTACCTTTTGTAAAACACTGACAAAAAGTTTACGTACCTTTTTCTCTTTGCTTTGAAGAGAATGTCTTCTATTGTAGCTTTCAGTGATCCTGATTCATCTTCTTTAAGAATCTCCCTATAAGCGGTAATTACTTATTTAAAAAGATAAGCTAAAAGTTTATCAGCCCAAGAGAAATAAAAACATATGTTCACATAAAGATTTGCACGTAAATGTTCACTGCTGCATCATTCTTTTTTTCTTTTTACTTTATGATTTTATTTATTTTTAGAGAGGGAAAGGGAGGGAAAGAGGGAATCATCAATGTGTGGGTGCCTCTCACGCGCCCCCTGCTGGGGACCTGGCCGCAACCAAGGCATGTGCCCTGACTGGGAATGGAACCCGCAACCCTTTGGTTTGCAGGCCTGCACTCAATCCATTGAGCCACACCAGCCAGGGCCACTGGAGCATTATTCTTAATGGCCCAAAATTGTAAACAATCTAAATGTCCATCAACTGATGAATGGATCAATAATTATATGGTATAACCATGTAATACTACATTCGCCAAAAAAAAAAAAAAAAAAAATGAATTACTGATATATGCTACATGGATGAAATTTAAAAATAGTATGCTTTTTAAAAAATTTATTTTAGAGCGTAGGGAAGACAGAGAGAGAGAGAGACAGAGGCAGAGGCAGAGGCAGAGGCAGAGGCAGAGAGAAACATCAATTTGCTGTCCCATGTATTTATGCACTCATTGGTTGCTTTTTGGATGTGCCCTGACCAGAGATCACATCCACAATCTTGGCATATTATGACAATGCTTTAACCAACTGAGCTACCTTGCCAAGATGAAAACAGCATACTAAGTGAAAGAAGGCAGATACAACTGACCATATATTATATGATTACATTTACATGCAATGTCCAGAAAGGGCAAATCTAGAGAGACAGCAAGGGTGTTAGTAGTTGCCTAGGGCTAGAGGTATAAATTGAATTTACTGTAAGTGAGCATGATAGATCTTACTGGGCTGGTAAAAATGTTCTAAGCCCTGGTGGAGTGGTCAGTTGGTTGGAGCGCTGTCCGCACATGCAAAGGTTGTAGTTCGATCCCTCATCAGGGCATTTACAAGAAACAACTAATGGCATAAAAACAGACACAGAGATCAGCAGAACAGAAAAGACAGCCCAGAAATGAAGCCATGCCTATATAGTCAATCAATATCTGACAGAAGAAGCAAGCACATACAATGTGCTAAAGATAGTTATTCAATAAATGGTACTGGGAAAATTGGACAGATAAGTGCAGAAAAATGAAACTAGACTGCCTTCTTACATCACACGCAAGAATAAATTCAAAATAGATTAAAGACTTAAATTTAAACCTGACACCATAAAAATCCTAGAAGAAAACACAGGCAGTAAAATCTGGGACATTGTTCACAGCAATATTTTATCTGATGTATCTCCTCAGGCAAGGGAAACAAAAGAAACCACCAATGAATGCATAAATGGGTGGAGCAACAAATCAATGTTTTTCTCTCTCAAAATCCATTTTAAAAAATGTTGTAAATGTTCTAAAACTGATTTATGGTAATGAATGCACAACTGAACAAATTTTTTAAAATTACCAAATTATACACTGGAAACAGATGAATTTTAACATTTGTAAAATACACTTCAATAAAGTTGCAAAAAAGTGCCTAAAAGAGGAGATATTGTAATACTTTTCTACTCACCATGTTCTTTCATAACCTCCTTCCCATCGCTTAGTTCTTTCAGGTTCTTCATCCATTTTTTTCTTAAATGTATTATATTATTCAATATCCTATAACAATCATTAGACTGTGAATTTCCTGAAGATTTTTGTCACCAAATGCCTACAATTAAAACTGAAAAGAGGGGGAAGTAAACAAAGTAAGAAAAAAAGTCACAATGCAAGGTCATCTTATATTCTTGAAGTTTATTCAAAAATTGTTTAGGTGAAATACTTTACAAAATCCCCATGGAACTTTTTCCTGTCCCCAAGAAAGAATACAAATATTTACACACAAATCTGGCACCGATTGATATATATTCTGAGAAGTTTTTTTAGAAACATGTCATAGGACAGGACCATAGATTAGAAGTAGATATGGATGTAGATAAAACAAGATGAGGCAGGGGACAAAGAAGGAAATATTGGGACAACTGTAATAGCATAAACAATAAAAAATTGTATTTTTGTTTTTTAAAGATTTTATTTATTTTTTACAGAGAATGGAAGGAAGAAAGAGAGGGAGAGAAACATCAATGTGAGAGAAACACATCAATGAGTTGCCTCTTGGCCAGCAACCTAGGCAAGTGTCCTGACTGGGAATGAAACCGGCGACCTTTTGGATTGTAGGCTGGCTCTCAATCCACTGACCCGAAACAGCCAGGACTAAAAAACATTTTTTTAAAGATTAGCTACAACTGATGATTATTACATCTGAGTGATGGATATATGGTGATTCATTGTACTTCCTCTCCAATTTTGTGTATGTAAGAATATTCTCATAATCAAGTTTTTAAATGAAATTTATTATTTATAAATGGTAAATGCTTATGGCTCATAATTCAAAGGATGACATAATATTAAACCTACACTAATCTCAACTATTAAAAAATAAAGAAATATTTAATAATTCAATAACTATGACAAATTTAATAAATAGGACAATTTCAAAATAGGTTTCAGCTGGGTGACAGAATTAAGGATGATTCCTTTTTTTGTTTCTTGGTTCTTTTCTGTATTTTCATATTTTCAATATGAACATGTATTTCTCTAATAATCATGGATAACACAGGTGGTCCGGGGAACCTATTAACCATAATCAAGCAATAACCGCCCCATCACATCACCACCTCTACCCTCCCCAATGGCATCTCCCTCCCTACCCCACACTCTCATCCTCAGCTTCCTCTGTGCACAGGTGAAGGTTCAAAGGAATCCTAAGTGCCCAGACATTAAGGAAAAAATAAATCCCATCACTGGCAGTGTTAAAGATTAACCTTTATGACAAGGACCATCACCAACACCTTACCCTCCATTTATAATATTGGTGCTATAAAGTATATACAAGGTCTGGCAGAAGTAATGCATGCTTGAACATGATTGGTAGGGTAATAAAATGGGTGTAATAATTTATAGTTTTAATTTGAACATTTCACCTACAATGTTATATGCTGTGCTTGAGTGTGATATTATGTTAAGAGAATTGCATACTTATGATTTTGTAATAAAAAAGGGGCATTATTTCTGCCACCGTATTTTAAAATTTAAAGAACTGAGCTATATAAATGGACTTCTGGAATTAAAATTATTGACAAGTTGGACTGTTTTTACAACACACTGTTTCCTGTGGCACCTGCTATAATTAGATATTATTTACTAAAGGTCTGTGTCTCTCACTGAATTAACCACTCCCTGGCGTTGGAAGAGATTTGCTTATTTCAGGAAATCTGGTGATCCACTTTAACATCCTGAAGTAAGGAGAAATGACTTACTGTTACTTCCATGCTATTTCAATAGCTATGTTGGTGCCTTGTAGGTTTAATGATATGTAGTAACATAGTAACTACAGAGTAACAGTGACTAAACATTTTGATCTTCTATGCGTTTTCAAACTCAAATTCTTTAATAAGTGGCTACTGCCACCCATCATATGAAACTATTTTTAGTTTATTACTTTGAATTCTCGGAAAGTTTAGAAACAAAGTCAGAACAGAAACTCCAAGTGGGAACACTTCTGGCTCACTGCATACAAGTACTTTTTAATTAGACCTGCCTTCAATGGGAAACTACAGGGATAGGACAGGTATTAAGCTCCCCATAACTGCAGACGTTAGAAGTGAAGTTGGATTTTTACAATGCATGTTGTTAAGAGAAACAGGGTTATATATTCTTGAGAAAGATGTACTTGGTGACTTCTTCGGTCAGTCATCTCCTATGACTTCCTGATATTCCATCTTAAAATATCACTGACCCGTTTCCTGGGAATCCAACCCCAGAGAAGCCACGCCCCCTGGCGTAAGCATATTAGTGGGATTCCTGTCAGGTGAGCACAGAATGCTACCTGCAAACAAATGAAGTCTGCACCAAATATCCAATATAGGGAGCTTTTCCTCCGACCTTCTCTTAGAAAGCGCTCTAAGACAGACAAAGGGGGATTACTGCCCTGATTTTCAGGTATGGAACTCAAGACTCGAAGGCTGATAACTCTCTCGAGGCCACAAAGCTGGAGGCGAGTCACAGACTCGAAACCAGGATCACAATTCCCAAAACTCGCGCTCTGCCTTAAGGACGTTCCCCAGAGTAGCAGCCCCAGCGGTTTCCACGCAGCTCCCCAGTCAGAAACTGCCCTCCTCTTCCACACGCTCCCTCACATCCTCATTCCCTGAGACGCTGGTCAGGGCGATTCAGCCTCGGCCCGGGAGAGTGAGGATCCTTCCCCGCAGCCGTTTTCCCCAGGCAAGCGGTCCACGCCTCCGCTCTGCGCCTGGTTCCACCCGCAGACTCACCAGTCTCGCCGGACGCCGCTTTGCCCGGAAGCCGCTCAGTCCGGAAGCTCCGCCCAATCCTCTCCAAGGGCGCCTCCAAAGTCCTTCCGCCGCGCACGGAGACCACGCAGAAAAGTTCTGATCTGTTCAAGCGGAGGTTGTCGGAGCTGGGTGTTCCCGAGCCGCGGCTTTCTCCGAACTGGTTTAGAGTGAAGGGGAAGGGACCTTTAGTCCACCTTCCAGCTAACGGAGACGTGAGAAAAGCGTCATTCGGTCTTGAAAGGTCGAAGACCGGTAATGCAGACCCAGAACTGAGGAGCATGACTTTATTTCTGAAAGGTTGGCACGGAGAACTCACACCACAGCAGCAGCAGCTAAACCAGAACCTTGTTAAGCATCACTTTTCTGGGACGCTTGTGCTGCTCCTGCTGTTAGTGCAACAAATATTTTATTGAACACCCACTTTGGGCCGGATACAGTTCTAAGCACCGAGGAAATGCAATGAAAAACTGATCAAAATTCTTGGCCTCATGGAGTTTCCTTCTACTATATGGAGAGTGTTATCAAGAATAGCATACTCTCTCAAATGGTGATAGTGGCATAGAGAAAAATGAAGCATCGCAGGGGGAACAGTTTGCAGTTTAAAATAGCGTGGTCAGAGGAGTCCACACCAAGGCAGTTAAACCATGATCAGAATACGTAATTAACCACGCTGATACTAGGGAAGATCTCTCTCTCCAGGTGAAGGGAGATGCAAGTACAGATGTGGAAGAGCATTGGCTTGACAAAGCAGGGGATGAACAGTGACCACAGAGATCAGAGAGGTGGGTGGCTCCCTGCGTGGTGGGAACTTGGCGGGAATGATGATGGCTTCAACTAGTGTAGTATGGCAGTGCAGCAAGTGAGAAACTGTTGGATTCGCAATCTTGCGGATAGATTGGACATGAACGAAGAACCAATAACTCCAAAATTCTTTAGTTGAGCAATTGTAAGTTTGGAGTTGCAGTTCTTGAGAGGGTGGGGGGTGGCATAAGATCAGTTCAGTTTTGGAAAAGTTGTTTGAGATGCCTGCTAATACATATGGAACTGTGTATTTCCCATGCTCAAGAAATGGAGAGGCAAGGCATCCTAGGATATTTGAAAAAAAAAGGTTATGCCCAGGAGAGGAAGAGCAGAAGGGAACTACAGTATCTGGAGCTGCTTTGTTTCCCTATTAGCATATGCTTTCCCTCTGTTGCCTGTATCGCTTTGTTAGCATCAAAATCTTCCCATGTGTTCTACCCCCTCAAAAACATAAACAGAAGCCATCCCACATAGTAGTGGAAAGAACAGACCTGGATTTAAAATCAAGCTCTTCCACACTAACTGGGTGATCTCAAGCAAATCACTTATGAAATAGGAATAATTCCATCTACCCTACAGTGCTTACACATCACATGGTGGCAGCACCATAACCAGCTACTTTTATTTCCCCCCAGACGACAAGGTCTTATTTGTTTAGTGTTGGTGGTGGTGTCTTTAAAAGGGGGAGACAAAATTAGCATTTGATTCTTTCCCAGTGCCAGTCACCTTCCATTTTGGCCTCCCTCCTATCGTTGACTCCTCTACAGAACTCACACATAAATTCCACACTTCTTCCTTTCCCTTCCCACTTTCTTTCCATCCTCCCTTCCTTCTAGAAACTCCAGGCTTTCTCCTTTTTCTTTCCTTCTGTTCTGATTGATCTTCCTATTCCAAGATGGGGTGCATTATTATAGGACAAACAGCCACAACCCTAAGCTCCAAGTTTCTCACTTAGGTTTACTACCCTGGAAACTTTTTAAATGGAAAACCAGGGAAAGGACAGAGGACTCCCCGGTAAGTTTAAATGAAAGCACATTTGTGGAGAGGAGGCTCAATCATTCAGACTCTTAAGAATTGTAAGTTTAATCTCCTCTTACAGATTTCAGTTATAGATCTTGACTCACCTAGGAATGGTACTAAAGGAAAGCAAAATGCAGTAGGTATAAATCCATGGTAATACCTTGGCATAATTATGACACAATATTCTAATTGTGTACCAAGTAGTAGAATGAATGATCTAACCTAGCCAAATATTTCAACTTGTAAAACTAAGTCACAACTATAAAGAATGGAACAATTTGTTCTTTGCCCATAGGTGGCTGGACACAATCCAGAGTTAGGAAATTCATGAACAGCTCAGCTAGTGGAATAAAGTTGAAATTCAAAGTGTGCATCTTTAAAGACTGGAGAGGTGAATGTGCCTATTCCAATACCTTTTTATGGAACTTAAATCATTCGAGACTCATTAAAAACCTCCAGAATTGCTTATAACAGTACCTAATATTCCTTATCTTGATATGTAAACTCTATTCTTTTAAAACATTTGTTAATCATTTATGAACAGTCACAATGCCAAGCCTAATGCAGTTATGTCTAGAACTTAGAATTTACACCCTAAAGCTGCACCCAACACAGACGAAGCATATAGGGGATCGGGATGAGATACAAACATTTAAGACACAATTTTCTTTTTAAAAAGTTGTTTAAAGTTTCACCTTCTGTCTTTGGGAACAAGATATAACCGGCCATATTTACTATTTACTTTCTGACAAGGGCTGGTCTAAGTCACACGTTTACTACCTACCTTCATATAACTCTATTAGGTAGAAATATCTCTTTCAAATAAGCAAAATGTGATACAGGAAGGCTATTTGCCCAAGGTCACATAGCAAGTAATTGTTAAAGGGCAAGGCAAGAACACATGCAGGAAAGAACAAGCAGGTTCTTTGGCAGCAACTGGAGGGTTTTGTTTTTCTTTGGAACACCATTCCACATTTGTTGCAGTCACACACACACACAAACCATAGTTCTGTGTTCATGTTCTTTCTCTAACTCCAAAGTGGTATTATTTTAACACAGTTTTCTAAAAACTACCCAGGATACTTGGGCATTTTATTCATGAAAAATAGTCCCATTAAAAGAAATGTTAACAATATGAAACAGAGGAGGAGAGATGAGAGTTTTCTAATTTATTTGTGTTTTCACACATGAGAGGTGGCAAGGTGAATGTAGCAGAACCATGAGCTGCCAGGAGATTGAGTTTGAATTATTTCTCTGGCTGAGCCTTTAAAAATGTCCAGTTGCAACACTTCCAATCTTAATGCTGGAGAAGGAAGAATGTGTTCGTTAGGAACTCTCCCCACCTCTCCACCCCCCACAACTGAAGCTAACATCCCTGAACTGATTAAAGAACACTCTTGCCCTGACCTTTCTTTACACATACATACCCCCATTCAGGTGGTTACAGATCCCTGAGATATTGACATTCATGTTATTAAAAGTACCTAAATGCACTCAAAATTAAAATAGGACATTTTATTAACATCAGAGCAACTCCACCTTATCCAACCCATTAATTTATTGACAAAGTCAAGATGGAATGGGAGTATAGAATGTAATAATCAACTATTCCTAGTTTAGTCACTTTTGACAGTGGACCAGCTAATCCATCAGATCATTAGTTTTCTTTACTGTAAAATGAGAAATGGTTGCAAGTCTATCGACTGTTGTAAGAAGTTAAATATTTCATATATGTATGTGTGTATATACAATGTAACTTTTACTATAAATACTAAGACATTTCAAAAAATACAAAGTATATATGACAAACCAGTTATTTCTGGGTAGTGGGTACATGTATGTTTATAGTTTTTTGTACTTATTTAAATTTTCAAAATAAAGAAAATAAAATGTTGATCTACTCTTCATACAAAACACAGATGGAAGGAAACTATGTTATGCAATGAACCTTTATCAAATGGACCACATGCTTTCATAACAAAATCTTGAACAATGGTACACAGAGTAGAAAGTAGAATGCAGGCAGTAGAATCTCAGGAGGTCAGAGGTGGAAGAGACCTCTGAAATCTAATCTAAACTTCTTATATTCCAGACTTGGAAGCTGCTTGAGTGCCTCTTCGAAGTTATATCCAGCTGGTTAATATCAATTCCAGCAGAAATGCCCTAACCTGGCTCCTGAAGTGGTCTTTACTAAGTACCACATTTGAAAAATGATTTTATTTCAAAGTCCAATTGTATGGCACAATTTTACAACGCAAACTTATGCCTGGCCAGAACACTGGCAAGCTTACCTTCATAAACTAAGTACATTGACTTCCAAGAACAAAGAGTTAAAATTTTAGCACACATAAAAATCAGGTAAGTTGCTCAAGAGAGTCCTTACCATTTGATGCAAATCCAAAAGGTATGAAAAGCATAGGCTATTTAGTCATAAGTACGTAAAGCACATGGAAAATTAAGAATTTCTTCAATTTGAAGAAATCAGTGTTACAGTGGAAACATTACAGAAAAGTTTATCTTTGGGTCCTGAGCGGGTAGCTCAGTTGGTTAGAGCATCGTCCCAGTACATCAAGGCTGTGGTTTCAGCCCCAGTCAGGGCGCATGCAAGCAGCCAGTGAATGCAGGAGTGAGTGGGGCAGCAAGTCGCTCTCACTCTGTGTCTGAACTGCATACTAATGATCAGCTACGGATTCTTCAAAACATTTTCACCAAAACAGAGTTCTAAAGGAGGGAGGCTCACAGTCACCTTGGCTAGTGACATGCCCGGTATTATCAGCTAATTTTACTTTACTAATAAAAGTACTGAGATTTTAGGGCACGATGTGAAATATCTGATGTTCTGTGGTACTGGATTCTACTTTCGGGCAATTGGCCTTCTTAGAGCTAATGAACCGGGAAACAAGCAACCAGCACAGCACCCAAAATAGTTTAAAACAATAACAGATACCATTGCTGAGTGTAGTTTCGTACAGTTTAAAATTAATATCACTAATGACATCAAACAGGTATATTACAGAAAGAAAACACCTGGTTTTAATACCTTATAAAATATGTACAGAACTTGAACATTCCTGTAAGATACATTTCAAGTCACAACCAAATTATAAATGTAATCAGATACTCTAATATAATGAAAAAACCTAGTGGGTTTTTTAAAAAAGCATGTAAACCATAAAAGATTAAAAAGTATTTAAAAATACACAATAAAATCCTAACCAGTGGTTTGAAATTTTGATTTTTAAAAAGTATGTATTTACAAGCTTTAAACTTCAAAATTTGTTACTTTTATATAATCTTTATTACCAAGATAACATAAAACAATAAAAAGCTCTTTTAACCATTTACACACAGAAAAAAAAAATCAATAGGGAGGTTGGAAGAATGCAATGTCCACATAAGCTAAAATACAAATGGCCAGGGATTTTATTGATGGAGTCATAAAACAGACTTAACCAAAACTGCCAGCTAGGAAACATGCAGTTTCACTTTACTGCAGGGACCCAGTTTCCTTATGTAAAAAGGAATGATTATAAATAATAGTTACATGAAGGGAGCATTCTGGGAGGATTAAATGAGATCATCTATTCAAAATAATGAAGCACTAAGGCATGACTGCCTATGGCATGAAAGTTCACAGCACAATCCACACAGAGACCTTCCTTCAGGGTTTAAAAACCTCAAACAACAGTTAGTTCTTAATAAAAGAACCAAAGTTTACAGCATAATGTCCTTAATTGGAGTGTTCCGCCCAATTGATTATCAAAAGCTATTTATAAAATGCTTCAATACCGACGATATTAAAGCTACCAAAACTCTGTAAGGATCACAAAGGTTTGGCCTTTCTGGTTGGAGTCCAAAGTCACTTTGCATTCTGACAGCAGCGCAGAGGCATCAGACACATCTTAGTCACTCAGACAATCTGGACTCTGCCTTCTGTCTTCCCTCTGTCATAATCTCCAACCATTTTCTTGATGTGTGACAACTTACTCTTCAACTGCTTGCAGTAATTCCTTTTACTTTTGTAATCTGCAGACTAAAAGGAGGGAGGAAAAAAATGAACCAGGTAAATTTAACAATATAAAAATGAGTTATGTGTAGTTGCTGGGAGGGTACAGGTCAACCAAAAAACAGGGGACATTAGTCATACAGAATTGCTGGGAGTGTAACATGATATGACATATGTAAGGCACCTGGCAGTCTCTCAAACCAGACAGGCAGTTAATTTCCTTTGCTGAACAAGATCTTCTAACCTGAGTTCTACAAAGAATACACTAATCTAATGATTTGTAAAGTGACAAAAAAAAAAAAAAAAAGCTTATTGGCTTTTTTGCTAACACAAAGATCATCTAAAATTTTAGTAAAAAATCATGATTTGAAGTCAAGAAAGACTGATAATGGCAAGTGTTGGTAAGGAGGAAGAGCACCAGGAACACACACTTCTTGGTGGAACTATGAATGGGCACAAACCGGGAAAGCTGTTTGCCAGTCCCCACCCAAGGCCGGATACACGCTTGCACGAGGACCCCACAATTTCACTCCTAAGTATATACCTAACAGGTGTGTGCACATGTGCATAGACACTTAAATGTTTGAAGCTGCACTGGTTGTAAAAGCCCTAACCAGGAAACAACCCAAATGCTCCTTAATGACAGAATAAATGAGTAAGTTCTGTTTTATTCACAGTAAAAATAAATGGGCCACAACCACCTGCCAACACATGAATGGAACTGACATAGTACTGAGCAAAAAAAAAATCACACAGCCCTGGCCAGGTAGCTTGGTTGGAGCATTGTCCCGATACACCAAGGTTGTGGGTTCAATACCAGGGCACGACACATATAAGAAGCAACCAATAAATAAATAAATGGAACAACAAATCAATGTCTCTCTCTCTCTCTCTCTCAATCAATAAAAAATTTTAAAAATCACACATATATGGCTCCATTTATATAAGGTTGAAAACAGGCAAAATTAATCTATGATATTAGAAGTTGGAGTGGTGGTTACTTCTGGAGAGAAAGTAGAAACTGGAAGGGAATACAAGAGGGCACTGTCAGGGGTAGTAGGAAATGTATTTCTTGATCTGAGTGCCAGGTACAAAGGTATGTGGTTGCTTTGTGAAAATTTACCAAGTTGTACACTTTGATTGGTGGACTTTTCCATATATATACTTCAACGTTTAAAACAGTTTTTAAAAATCAGTATTGGTTGTAGCTGCAAACAACTGAAATTAAGGTTCCAACTTCTCGGGTATAATTTATCTGGCAATTATTGGGCCTTCTGTTTATAATCAGTGTATGGGTGACAAGGGATTCATAGTCATTCTAAAGATTAAAGGAAAAACATGCAATAGAAAAATTCTTCGTAAAAGAATCTTACAATACGGGATACTTACTCCCTTAACTTCCTTCAGTCTATTGTATTCATCAGCAGCAGCCTATTAATGAGAAACACAGGGAGTATGTTTAATGGTCCATTTCTTCTTTCAAAAATAACATTACTGATGCTATATTTTGAAATTAAAACTGCCAAAAATACAGGAAGTTAAAAAACAAAGTCTTAAAGCTCTTAAAACTACCATGATCAGGAGGAGGCCTGAGGAAGCCAGTGAAGAGAAATGGATGACATTTCCTACATTCTGCTCACAGAGGCAGGTCACGATTTGTTCTGCCCTCTCTCATCTTCCCCCATGCCAGGCCATGTGCATGCTCACACCACAGAGGTCTCGTGTGAAGCACAGCTCCCATCAAGTTATATCCCATTATAAAACTGGTCAGAGCTCCCCATTAACTTCTCTACTAGTCTAGTCCCCCACCTTTCCAGGCTAAGCTCCCATCATTTGCAATTCCTTTTCAAAATTAAGCATGTTAATGCTTCCAGACTTCAATGAGTTCTCCTTACGCCTGTCCTCAAGTACCCCTCCCCCTTTTGTCTGGAGAATCTGCAATGGTTACTCCTCAATGAAGCCTCTCCTGAACTGTCCAGGCTTTCAGCAGACCTTATTCCTTCTCTGAGCAATCAGTCACAGTACCTTCTACACATAATGTGAATATGGCATTAGCCACATCATCTAAGTTGTGTAGGTGTCAGTTTCTCTCTTAGGATATGACCTCTTTGAGGGCTGACACAGGATTTTATTTATCTTTCTAACTTCAGCACATCTACATCAAAGACCCAATAATGATCCATAATTAATTGTTCACTGGGTTGAGAAAGGTTTACAACACCATACAAAAGCCATAAAACAATAGTTAAACTATATAAGAAGCAAATGCTTCAAAACTGAAAAGCAAAGCACCCCAATTAAAAATGGCAAATGGTATTTTATAAAATGAATATGAGGCTCAAATAAATGATGTGATTAAAAAAATGTTTAAGTACTACTAAGACACAAGGCAGTAATTTTTCAGGTACTAAGTATTAGTGAAATGTGGGTTAGATGAGCCCTCTAGAGCATCATTAGCAGGAATGCAGTTGATATAATCTTCCTGGAGGGAAGTTCTGGAACAAAAATTTAAACGTGCATTACTCCTGCCTCAGCAATTTTATATTCTGGAGTTTGTTCCAGCTAAGCGAGCACGCAGACATGGACAGGCTCACCAAAGGATTACAGGTGCTACTGGGCTGGGGGGCAGGGAGTAGACATGCCTGAGTGTCTGTTCACAGAGGATGACTTTTTTCTTTTTTTTTAGATTTTATTTATTTTTAGAGAGAGAGGAAGGGACGGTGAACGAGAGGACAAGAAACATCGATGTGAGAGGAAAACATCGAATGGTTGCCTCTTGCATGCCCCCAATCAGGGACCTGGCCTGCAACCCAGGCACATGCCCTGACGGGGAATCAAACCAGCATGTTTTGGTTTGTAGGATGACACCCAACCCACTGAGCCACACCTGTCAGGGGAAGACAATGACTCTTAAGTAAACTATGGTACAACCACTGAATTGAATATTATGTAGCTATTTTTAACATACAAAAATTTTTTTTGCAGTAAGTACCATATTTTGTCAGGTATAATGCTCACCCATGGTTTTGTGTGCATTGGGATATAATACATGGGATTATTATACTCATTATTATATCCACGTATAATGCACATCCATATCTTTCCCTCAAAAGCTTGGGCAAAAAAGTATGCATTATACACAGCAAAATATGGTAGATCTTTATTATTGATATGAAAGGCTAACCATAGGTTTTTGTTGAGTAAAAAAGCAGGACAGCCCTGCCTGGGTGGCTCCCTTGGCTGGAGCGTAATCCAGTACGACAAAAGGTTGCAGATTCAATCCCGAGTCAGGGCGCATACCTAGGTTGCGGATTCGATCTCGGGTCAGGATACATACAGATGGCAACCAATCAATATTTCTCTCTCTCTCTTCCCCCTTTCCTCTCTATCTAAAATCAATGAAAATATCTTTGGATAAGGATTTAAAAGAAAAAAAAGCAGGATATAGGCATTGCCAGAAAGCATTTAAAAAGAAAACCCCCCCACAATGATGGGGGCATATCGAACAGACAAAGAGGCAACTGGAAGAGTTCCCAATGGTCATGGCTATAACAATGCAGGCAACAAAATAAAGTAGTATTTGATTATAACCCAAAGTATAAGTAACACATCCACTGAGTCCATGCTGATGTGATTGACTAAATACATTTAAAAATGGAGGAAGTGACACATTTTCCATGCAGAGGGACTCCAAATAATTCGTGTAGGTACACTGCCTATAGCGAACTGGAGCTTAATTCCCAATTCCTCAAGGGTGACCGATGCCGCGTTACTTCCTTCCAAAGCCTATAGTGTGGAAAGGGGAATTAAAAAGGAAAGAGTAACTATACACAGACAAATAACTCTCTTAGCCAGGCGATCAAGGAGAAAAACAAACAAAAAGTATTTTTGAGTAAAAAAGCAGGAAGTATATAGATAAAACATAAAAGATAATTCCTTATCAAAGACTGTGTATGTCTAGGTGTACTGCTACATGGAGGGGCTAGTTCAAAAACTAATATTTTGGTGATAACCAGGCAACAGAATTTAAGGAATTTATACAATTCCATATTGTTTGAATTTTTTACAGAAAGAATGAACCAGGTAAATACAGAAAATGAACTTATAGAAAAGAATGAACTTTTCTATAAATAGAAAAAATAATATAGTTGTTTTCTTTTAAATAGGAAAGGATATATGTACATAGACTATTGCTTTGTAATTCTTAACTCCATTAGTATTAGCACACTCTTCAATTTGGAAGACTTCCATCCAAGACTCAATTTCAATTATTCTTCAATGAAGTTACAGTTTGATAATTACTAATTTTTGTATCAACATCAGTATAAAGGATACTGGCTCTCTACAGATCAGAATAAAAGTGTATGTAATATAATATTAATTATCAAGTTTGAGTTTACCATGTACTCTTCACTTTCTTCTCTATAGTCATCCAATTCTTTATCCAGACGAGAGAGTTCTTTATTGATCTCATCAAGTTCTGCCTGTAAGCGCTTGTACTCCTGCAGGCCAGTGTCAAAACTTCGCTTATAGAGTTGTCTTTGATGATCTGAAGTGATAGGTGGATATTCCCTAAAAATTGAGTGAGAAAATGACTGTGTATCCTTAGCAGACATAATATCCAGTGCTTCTTCCTCAAAGATAAAGCTGATGGGATGTGGAGAGTGACATTCTTGTTTTCTTTTTTCTAGCTTACGGGGAAGAGGAAAGGGGGTTGCAAATAAGTTCTCTTAAGAAGAATTACACTTTATACACCACTTAAAAAAAAACAAACACCCTATGCCTACATAATTTTTAGAAATGAAGTTAAAAGCAATTTATGAAATTTAAGTTTCAAGTTATAAGAACTCATTCATTCTGAATACACAACATGATCACACAACTTGTGTTTAATGTCTTAAGCCTGGAATCCGGGAACACAAAGAACGCTGTCGTCACAGCCCTGGCCGACAGCAGCCAACCGGCAGCCGGCTATCTCCTGCTGCTGCCTATAGTTTTCAGGCTGTTTTGGGGTATGGGTTTTTTGGTTGTTGTTGTTGTTGTTGTTTTTGATCTTGGTCTTGTTTCTCCTAAGTGGAAACAGCTTAAGTCCTTTGATTATAAAAGTAGACCTTAAAATGCACATGTATAAAAATGCATGCTCGTTGTATAAATAATTTGGCAATGCATTAAGCTATGGGGAGAAACTCAAATTCTATATCCCCTGTATCTTTCAATATACTGGCTATTCTTTACATAAGAAGGTAATGCTATTCACCCATAATCCACTAAGGAAATACTCTGAATTGTTTTACAGAACTAAGGAACTTCACAGCAATATGAAATTTCGAATTTTAGATTTAAATCAGTTCTAATATCTTCATTTTACAAAAAGGGGAAATTAAAGGATTCACTCAAAAGGGAAACAAGAATTCAGGATTTCTAAAAGTAAACATTTCACAGATAGATGGCTGAACTAGGCCAGAACTCCTAGGGACAGAGGGGGAAACAAAGTATGAGAAACCCCAGTGAGTAAGGGATTTCAGACTGTACACACCCCGAGAAGCAATGTTTTGGTTAATCACCATTTATACCACAACCATTACTGATGTGTGTCCCAGTCCTCAGCATACTTTGGCATAAAAAGGCTACACATCAAACAGGAGTATAGGTGGTGATGATGGACTATAACAAACCCACTGACATACACACAAAGGAACTTAACTACAACCTTGACGAGGACATTAAATTGGTAACTGTTTACAGAACTGTTTTCCCAAGTCCTCTGGAGAAACTTTTAAAACAATGTCTGATCTCATCGTGAAAGCTTAAAAGTAAATGCTGAAGCAAAGCCATACATAACCACCGGTCTGGGAATTTTATAATCAATAAAATAAAGTTTCTCTTTACTTGTATTTCATTTATTTGAAAGGCCCTTCTTGGGTGACTTGGTGAAAGAGTGAGCCCTGCTGCACTTTATCATGCATTTTGTGGGCGCCACTGAAAGTGTTTTTAAGACATGGTCACAGCCAAACATATCCCCTCTGCGCCCATCTTTATGGCAAAAGAGTACTCAGAAAAAAACATTAAAAACCATGTCCGGTCCTGGCTGGCAAAGAATGGATTTATATCGCCCACCCCGGTTTAGGAGGCAACAGCTCCGCAACAGGAAGGCGAGACGTGCGGGCGGCCTGAGCACAGTCGAGTCCGTACCTGACCCAGTCCTCCTCCAGCTCATCGCAGGACTCGCCCCCGGTCGTGTAGTCTGTCTCATAGTAGTCTTGCTCTGGTCTCTTTGACTTGCCCGCCCTCCTCTTTGCGGGAGCCCTTTTGGAAGGTGTCTCGAAGTTATCATTGCTGCTGTAATGAGGCTGCCTGAAGTCATCCACCGGCGCAGTCACGGGAAGTTCCTGTACCACCTCGGGCACCCTAATAAAACAGGAGTTACTTTTCAGTGATCACTGGGCACACTACAAGCCTGTGTCAGCACAAAGCGCAGCAACGGTAGCTATCAGGAGATCTACACGTAGGGGCATTCATTCACTCAAGCAGTTCACATGTTCAACACGGAACAGACTCCTGGTGTCCTGTGTTCAGTGTGACACCAGCTCAGACCCTCTAATACAGACGGGCAGCTTTAAGGTTCCTACATAAGAGGAGCCCATTTGCAAACCTTCTAAGTAAAGTGGATCTAAGATTCCATTTAGGTCAGGCTGATCTGGAAGACGTGTTTACCTGACCTGTGCTGGGGACATACTCCACAAGGGGCTGTCAGGAAAATAATGGTCATGATTCTTTTCTACAGGTTCTTCGAGTTCCATGGAATGTTGAGTGGAGAAGAAGAATGCACAGACATATCATTTCAATACCTTTGGAAGCTGACTCTCAGACACAGGTCTTTGTAATATTAATTTTAGAGTCCTATATGTCAAGTCTCTTTTCAAGATATTTCAAAAAACTAAAAACACTAAAAATTTAAACTGAAAAACTGAAATTTAAAAAAACTAAAAGCTTTATATTGTAATAGATAAAAAGAACTTTTTTTATGACTTTTTTTGTAAGATTTTTTTCATTTATTTTTAGAGCGAGGGGAAGGGAGGGAAAAAGAGAGGGAGAGAAACATCAGTGTGAAGTTGCCTCTTGCACAGCCCCTATTGGGGACCTGGCTCACAACCCAGGCATGTGCCCTGACTGGGAATCGAACCCGCGACTCTTTGGTTTGTACGTAGGCTGGCACTCAATTAACTGAGCCACACCAGCCAGGGTCATTAAGACTTTTTTTAAAAATTGCTTTGTTGATCCTGAAGTCACACAGAATGAATGGAAGGGGAGGTTACCATTACACTTATTTTTCTAATGCAATTATTCAACATTGCATCAGATTTTTCATTGCATATGTTTCTGTCACAAGCTTAAAACTAAAGCCTAACATGGAATAAAATACCAAGAGCTGTGGCAACTGTATACCACTTCTGAGTAACAGAAATGCAAAGCTTCCCTCTCCCTTGTAGCAGAGCTGGAGGAGGGCAAGAGAAAGGAAAGGAAGATAAAGAAAGCACCTGAGACTTCCCAACCATTGAAGACATCTAAAGATTTTCTTTTCTTATTTCTTTCAACTTACTAAAACTATAATCTTGAGCTTATCAATGAGGATCTCTCTCATTTTACTAGGTGATCCAGAACTGCTTGATTCTAGTCGTCAAAATCTAAAAGGTGTGTATCTGTGTGTGTATATTTGTAGTTGGGGGGGTGGTGGTATTGTTTCTCCTTTCTAAATTTATTCAGGTTAACATGGCTTTGTGTATTATGTTAATACTACTTTTGAAAAAAGGAAAATGTGACTTTCTCCATGAGTTAATAATTAAACAAGTTCCTAGACACACTGCCTTGAGGTGACAAACAAAACCTTTAGCATGCATCAGGTTTATCTGAGTAGGTGGGAGCCAGAAGGTAAGGAAGCTAAAGGTCAAAATAAATTAGAAAAAAAAAATTAAGCCCTGGCCAGGTAATTCAGTTGGTTAGAGTGTCATCCCAATATACCAAGGTTGTGGGTTTGACCCCCAGTCAGGGCACATACAAGAAGCAACCAATGAATGCATAAATAAATGGAACAACAAATCGATGTCTCTTTCTCTTTCTCCCTCCATCTTATTCTAAAAAGAATAAATTAAATTTAAAAAACACATTAAAGCCGGCTTCCTCCCATAATTTTTTGTTATTGATATTGTAAATCTTTACCTTGGAAGTTTTCCGCCTTCCCTCTCCCTACATCCCTTCAAACACTAAGGAATAACATGCTTACTACAGCATAAAAGCTGGAAACAAAATGTTTAGCAATTAAAGTATATATAAATTTAAGAACTAGGGAATATGTACACTCAATAATCTTGAAACCTACTTTTAGACCTAAGTCCTGTTGGGAAAAACCCACACAACCCAGAACAGGTGACCAGCTGTATAGTTTCCTCAGTATCCAACTCAGTCTCCCAGGGCTGGAAGTCCCGCCTTTTGTAGCTTTTGGATTGCTTCTTTTTTTCCTTTGTTTCATTCTCTCTCACACACCCACACATGCCTTTGCTGCTCTTATCTTGCCCCAACTCTCAATACAGTTATTGTATACTTTATTCCGCCCTTGTTAATTTGCAACCTCCATGACAGCATGGACTTGGTATTCCAGGGCAGCTGGCCCAGTACCATGTACATGACAGGTGTTCAAGGTAATTACTGAACTAAAAACACAGTTACAAGAATCCTGGTTTCTGATGACACCCAGTTTCAATGAGGGAGAAACAATACATGATCAACCTCGGTGCCCTGATTGTCAGAATGATGGCCATTATATGCATGGTTTCAGAACTGTCGTCATTATTAGGGGGAATAATTAAGCCATGCTCTAATCAGAGAACTTCATCTTCCTGACCTTGGAGATGACAGTGACCCAGAAGGGCCACACAGTATCTTCCCAACAGATTTGATACCCAAGCTTTGGGAAAGGAAATTGCATTTTCTGAATCCTGGGCTGGAAGATCAATGCAGCTTGGGGAATGTGGATGACCCACCGTGTTACGGGGGAAACTGTCCTGAGAATAGAGACAATACAGCAGCAAGAGCCTTGAGTCCTTGGATCATGCCATGCCTGACGCAGACCCATCCCCAGGCCTTATGTGATCCAGTGAATTCCCACAACTTGCTTGAAAGTCCTCTCAGATCACCCCACCATTGAAGTACCGAACAATGGTCTGACTTTTTTTCACTCTGGGGTATCATCCTGCCTTGAACACTCTCTGTAGTGTCAATGCTCAACTTCCTTGATTTATTAAGGTTAATTCACCCTGAATGTGGACAGTGTAGCAGGGAGTGACCCTCACACGGCTCTCCCAAATTCACGTAGAAGGGGTGCAGTAGCAATCATCGTCAGCTAAATTCCACTATCATCTAATCCAGGATTAATTCTAACTGCCCTGAAATCTAAGGTACAGGACATTATGATGAGAAAGAGGAGCCAGATACGAGAGTAATTACTATATAATTCCATTTAATAACAGCTCTGATAACAGGCCCTGGCTGGGTAGCTCAGTTGGTTAGAGCATCGTCCCAATTCACCAAGGTTGCAGGTTTGATATCCGGTCAGGGCACAGACAAGAATCAATCAATGAATGCACAAATAAGTGGAACAACAAATCGATGTTTTTCTCTCTCTGTCCCCTCCTCCGTCTCTTTAAAGTCAATAAATAAAAATTTAAAAAAGAACGCCAATAACAAGCTAAACTAATAGACGGTGATAAGCATCAAAATAGTGCTGGTGGGGGATGGGGATGCTGACGGCAGAAGGGCCCAAGAGGACCTCTGGGAGTGCGGTTTGACCACATCTAACAAAATTAAATATGTAATTTCCTTTAGTCCAGCAGTTCTGCTTTTAACATTTTTTCCTCCAGATACATTCATATATGTGTAAAGTAATAAATGTGCAAGTTTATTCCCTACAGCGGTTTGTAATTACAAAACAATGGGGAAATACTGTGCATCGATATGGGATTAATAAAATAGATTACTGATGGAATATTATGCAGCTATGAAACAGATCAGTAAACTCTTTGTATACCATTATGAACAACTCCAAGATATATTATTAATGAGGCATTTAATATGCTAGTATTTTTTTAGCCCTGGCTGGTGTAGCTCAGTAGATTGAGCGTCAGCCTGCAAACCAAAAAGTGGCTGGTTCGATTCCCACTCAGGGCACATGCCTGGGTTGCAGGCCAGGTCCCCCGTTCGGGGCGTAGAAGAGGCAACTGGTTGATGTACCTCTCACACGTCAATGTTTCTCTCCCTCACTTTCTCCCTCCCTTCCCTTCTCTCTAAAAATAAATAAATAAAACCTGTTAAAAACATAATATGCTGGTATTTTTTAAAGAAAAAAAAATAACTGATATTCATATTTGGCCAGCATATTGTATTTAAAAATAACCTCTGGAAGGATATAAAAGAAACTGGTAATACTAGCTGTCTCTAGGGAGAGGACTTAGCAATCTGTTTTTTCCCTTTTAAATTTTACATTATGAATGTACTGGCTTACTCAAGAATAAGTAAGATTTTTAAAGCGTTCCAAATGAATTTGTGATGCTGTCTTGGTTTTCATGAAAAGGGACTGCACATGGGGAGGCTGTGTACCCAGAGGGGCCTTACCATTTAGAGGCAGAGCTGGTCACATGCATTATGGATCCTTATTTTGTACGTGTGGAAGCCCCATAAATCATAGCTTGAAGCTGTCACAAGGACTGCACTGCTACTATGTACCTTTGCCCTTATTAGCCTCAAGTGCTTTGGTTTTTGCTAAAATCCAAAGAAAGAGGAGAACAGAGAAAACGTTCTCTCTCCAAATCATTCACAACTGAAAGGAGCAGCAATGTCGGTTCTGCAGACCACGCAGAATACATGGAGTTGGAAAGGCAGCCTGCCCAGCGTGTTTCCAAATTCCACTACAGGGCAATAATCGATCTATTGTCTTCAAATTGATTCCATAATTAACTCAGTGGCTGGTGTCACTTTATGGGGTTTCACCCACCCAAACTGTGCACTCAGAGTGGCTCTCTATATAGCCCAGCCCACTAAATGAGGGTGTGGGGTTGAAGTAAAACTTTGAAGTAACAAGAAGTTTTCCAGCAGATACGCCTCTAAATAAGAACAATCAAACTAGCTAAAGGGAAGTTTCCTTTTTTTGGTCTATAAAGGAATTTGGAGTTCTAACATTATATACAGCAACACTAACCAGTCATCCTTAGGCAAAAATTAAATCCAAGCCCTTAACAATACCTCCAACATCCTTCACTCGCTAGTCATTAAGCTGAATTAGAATTAGCCTGTGGGGAAAATTAAAACCACAATGGGGATACCATTTCAATAACTATAATGGCACCTACTCCAGGCCAGAAACTCACTATGAGGTTTGGTTTTGGTTTTATTCATCCTCACCCAAGGATATGTTTATTGATTTTAGAGAGAGGGGAAGGGAGGGGGGAAGGAAGGGAGGGAAGGAGAGAGAGAAACATCGATCTGCCTCCCACAACCTAGGTATGTACCCTGACCAGGATTCAAACTCACAACTTTTCTGTGTACAGGAGACACTCCAACTACCTGAGCCACACGGCCAGGACACTATGACGTTTTTACACTATATATAAAACGAAACCTACAGGCTTTATCAGCAATAGAGAGGCTCTAGCACAGCAAAGAAGATCTCAGAATCATGAATTCAAATGAAGCCTTACAGTTTAATAAAAATTTGTGGAGGCTTGATCAAGGAGCAACCTCCCCTTTCTATTGAGGAAAGAGTGAAGGCATGGAAAATCTAAATTAGAGTCATTTTAACCAAGCTGCTAAATTATTTAACATTATGAAGGTTGAGGCAGGAAGAAATGATTCTTTTTCTTAACTTGCCTGGGATCTTAAATTTTTGAACTTTTCGGGCCTGAGCCAATACATAGGTAATGCACAGACACCCATGAAACCTGCAGGTAGCCCTGAGACTACCCCCGAAAGGAGTCAGGACAGAACCAGACCTCCCGTGCCCATCCTCCAGACCGCCAGGCATTGGCCATCCAGACCACCTGACGGCTGGCCGACACCTGTCCTGCACCAGAGCGAGGGCTAAGAACACAGGGCTGATTTTTCTCAAGGCTGGGACATTTACTATAAGAACTCTTCACTTTCTTTTTACCTTTGCAACACTTCTAGGTTTTTGCCTAGCTACGTTTCCAGTTTGCAAATGCTAATACCCCTGAGTAAATTTTTATCATTTATTTCTAGCCAAAGCCTACTGACTGTGCTTATTCAATACTCTTAATGAGATCTAATAATCACAGGCAAAAGGAGAGACCAAGAAATGCACCTCAGCTCTGCTATCCATCAGTAATGTCCTTTTACCCACACTTAAACTGAAAACCTGAAGTAGGAAAGAGAACCACGTTCCTAGAGTGAGAGAACCTAGCCTACCCTCTATCTATTAAGTGATCACAAGAAAAGCACTTTCAGCTTAGAAGGGGAAGAGGACCCTACCTCACAGTCCTACCCTCCTTTTCTTCCAAATAACCCTAGGCATTCACCTGCAATGCCAAGATTGGTCTCCAGCCTTATGCAAACTGTTGGATTTTTTTTTTAAAGACAAATGGCACAAAAGAGCAACTTATTTATAAACATGGCAAATACTCAGTTCTTAGATACAGTCTATCAGAAGGTGCTACTTACGGTGTTGATTTATAGGAGGACTCCGGATACATCCGCTTGTCGTTCACTTTCCCGTTGGAGGAGTAGGCCACGGGACTGCAGACTCCATCCACATAGTCCGAAGGCGGGGGAGGCATGTCGTGTGTGCCTGCGGAAACGTTTTTAACCTAAAGAAACAGCCCCAAGAGACACAGGTATTATTTAGCCTGTAATTTAAAAGGGGAAAGAAATGGAGAAAAATGATCTAGTATTTATTGGGCTCATTAAATACTATTAACCTGTAATGATTGCCTTGTTATTATTAGTGGTAACAGTCAAAAATTGGTGTCTTTACAAACCCAAGTCCAGAATGAATTACAAAGAAGAAAAAAAAACCCAATTGCCTGATTCTCATCTTGATGTGATTAGGTGGAATAATTACCCACACATAATTGCTCCTCCCCCACATTAGGAAGACTAATCTCACTTAACTAGTCTAGGTCTGTGTTAGGGTGAGAATTTTCATTTCTAACAAGTTCTAGGGTGATGTTTTTGCTGCTGTCTGAGGTCCACACTTGGAACATCTCTTAGCTAGGACAAAGGAGGTGGGTTCTTCTTAATCTGTTCACCTTAAAGATGGACCATTAAAACCACATAAGTAATTAAACTCAAACTAATTTGTGCTATAGTTCTTTAATGTGATTTGTGTATTTTCTTTTAACATACATTCTCAATGGCTCTATTATTAATAGCCCATACAGTACAGTCACAACATTGTTATCATCCCTCTCTGCTTTCCAGTAAGTTTGTCCTAAGAATGAATACATATTAGAGATTATGCTTTGTTAACACGAAAGGTTTCCCACAGAAACTTTGGAAGAAAAATTTGAATATAATAAGTATAGCCAACTACATTGCTAACATTTTTAGACTTCATGAAGTAGATCCAACATTCTTTAAATTTCACCAAAATTCTGCCCTGGTTGATGTGGCTCAGTTGAGTGCCGGACTGTGAACCAAAAGGTCACCGGTTCAATTCCTAGTCAGGACACATGCCTGGGTTGTGGGCCAGGTCCCCAGTAGCGGGTGCACAAGAAACCACCATACATTGATGCTTCTCTCTTTCTCCCTCTCTTCATCTTTCTCTATAAATAATAAATAAATAAATCTTACCTAAAAAATCTTTACGTATTACTCTGCAGTTGATTAAAAAGATAAACAAATAACAGCTACACCCATGCAAGTCATGAAGCTGCTTCAAGGTAAAGGAATAAAATAAAGTATGGGAAAAAGATAAAAAATAACTTTGTAAGTTATTTCTGCGAAAAAGAGCAACTTTTCAAAAATAGGGAGGGGTGGGACTACTTTAGCTTGGTGGTGAGAACAATGGCATCAGGTTACCCGGGCTCACTCCAGATCTGCCAACTACAAGTTCTAGAAAGTCTCAGTCTGCTCATCAGCAAGAAATGGGGAAGCTACTTACTTCACAAAGTTGTTTTGACAATTTAATGACATGACAACGTATCATATTCAGCACAACGCCTTTATGTAAAAACTACATTATATAAAATGCTGGATTCTGGAATTTGAGACATTAGATCTAAACAAGGAATTTTTATAAGTATTTGAATGTGACAGCAGACTTTTAATTGGATTCTTTTGCAATTATGAATCCTTGCACTTAGGTTCAGTATCAAGACAGTGTATTTACTAGCAATGCACACACTTTACATCTTGTTTCCTGTTAAGCACAGCATTCCAACATGACCTGCTCCTTTTCCTATCGCTGCAATATCACATGCCAAAATATTTATTTTCCCACCCCTCTAAGGACATGGAGGTCTTCTTGATTGTTTAATATTCCCGTGGGTCAGAAAGGAATGGAGTCATTTCCTCTTGAAAGTGGAGTTTGGCAGAACGGGGAAACCAGTGGGTGGGTGGCCAGGGAGTGTGCTTAGATCCCACCACAGGGGGCACGGGTGGGAACCATTCTTGGCTCCCTCGGTGAATTCCTTAGGACTTGGCTCCATCACCAAGCTCCACAGGCAAAAAGCTCTGCTGAACCAAAGGCCTATTTCTATTCCGGAGACTTCATCAGAGTTCAAAAAGACTTCCTTTGCTTTAAAACCATTGAACATCTCTCCAGGTTCTTTTCCCTTAACAACTTTAGCAAATGCTCAAAACTCATGGATTCCCTGCTGACTGACACACCAGAAAGCAAAACCAAGGAGCCTGGGCGTCCTTGTAGAGACTTCTGACTGCCTGAGATGGAATGTCCTTCTTCCTTTGCCAGCTAATACTTAATTGGGCTTCAAGTCTTGGCTCACTACCAAGGATTAGTAATGCCACTACCTCCTGGAGGCCTTCCACATGCGCCCCTGCTGGGTGAGGCACCTATCTGTCGTGCTATCTCCCCGAGCACCTGTGGACACAATCCTCCCACCAACCACAGCACTTCTGCACTGTGGAACAATTGTTTACACACAGCGTAATGGCTTGCTCCCATATCGCTAACCTCAGTAGGCAGTCAACTGTTCTAAAAGCCATCTCTGTCTGCCTGCTTACAACGTGCCAAATACTGAACTGATACATCATCTAGTAGACGCAGCCTTACAGGTGAATACTATTCACCTTTTCAGAAATGAGGAAGCTATGGCTCAGAGAGCTAGACAGTTTTCCCAAAGACCTTTCCTAGTAAAAGGTAATGTGGGATTTAAATACAGGGCTCCCTGGGAAACCTCTGCTACAATCCACCACCCCTCCCAGGGCACTCCCCTACCTCCTCTTTGGGCCTCCAAAGCCCTGCATAGCAGCTGACACAAATCAGGAACCCAGGGTTTGCTGCACAAAGGTTACCTCACTGATTGCTGTTCTACATTATAAATATCCAAAAATCTTATTAAATGAGCTGCTATGCGCTGACCTTTATCTCTGAGTCAGCAGGACTGGACTAACTTGTCCACTGGCTTCACCCTCCAGCAGGTCTTTGGTTACTTAAAACTTTTTTATATATATGCACAAAAAATTCCAAAGTAACTGTTTGCTTTGGCAGAACATATACTAACGTTGGAACAATACAAAGGAAATTAATTATTAGCACGGTATCAGCAAAAGGATGACAGGCACATTTGTGATAGGTTCACATTTTTTAAAAATCCCAGACATGGTAAACACACAATGCAATATACAGATGATGTATTATAGAACTGTACACTTGAAACCTATAAAATTTTATTAACCAGTGTCAGCCCAATAATTTTTTAAATTTTTATTTTTATTGATATTAGAGAGAGAGGAAGAGAGAAAGAGAAACATCAGTTTGTTGTTCCACTTAGTTGCACATTCACTGGTTGATTCCTGTATGTGCCCTGTGTCGGGATCGATCCCCAACCTTGGTGTGTTGGAACGACGCGCTACCAATTGAGTACCCAGCCAGGGCTCACCTCAATAAAAGTAGTTTTAAAGAAATCCCCAGACAGACTCAAAAAAGAATAAGAAGCAGAATGTGTCCTTAAAAGGAGCTTAAGAATGTAGAGGCAGAGGCAAAATATATTTGTAAAATAAGGAGTAAGGTCATTTTTTTTTTCCATTTTCATGCTTCATTTTTTATGGAAAAAAACTAAAATATTACTTTTTCCCATGGTATGAATGCAAAGTGAGCATAAACCTGCTGCTTTGAAAGGACAGTAGAAGGAAGGGGGAAGCCCCAGTAGGGAGTGACCAGAAATTAGTCATTTATATAGGGAGTCCTCGACTTATGTTTCCTAGGGTTTCTGAGCTTCCCTGTTATTACTGATGGATTCCCCACCCAGCGAACCCATAAGACTTGATGATGTAGTTAAAGTTCTTTAAAACACACACACATCCAAACAAAACCTGCACCATTTTTATCACTGTAATAAATAAAATTTGTTTAAAGATTTAGAATCTGAGAAAAACTGGCTTAATTCTAAATAGCACGTGGTGAACAATTTTCCTCAAGCACCTTGGGAACAGCTCTGAGAAATGAGAGGCAGAAGTAAAAACACGAATTAAGGAAGATTTGTCTTCCACCAAGTACTGAGGGGAAAGAAAAGTTGGAGAATCAATCATTCCAGAAGCCAAATGCTGGAACTGTCGCTCTGAAGCAGAGGGAAGCCTGGGGGGCAGATCCAGTGCTCCCGATTCCAGGGCCTTCCTGAGGGGAGGAGACCCAAGTGAAGGGGGAAGCAAGCTGGGGGCCCCAGAAATCCACCCAGCAGGGCCCAACCAGCTTCCCTTCTCTGGGATCTGCCAGAACAGTTCCTGGTCCTCCAGGCACCCACCCCCCACACACAGACTGTGGAAGGGAAAGGTAAGACAGCAGAGGTAAAGACTGACCTGCTGAGGAAAATACACCTAAGCAACCAGAAAATGACTCGGATGCACTCTTGCGACTAAATTTAAAAAGGACAAGCACTCACACAGACCTTGTTTAATTCAAGGAATATGAATAATTAATTTAGGGCAAGACACAGGAAAAGCTTTACGAAGATTCGTATCTCAATCCAGAAAAGAACCAAAGTGTTACGGAAATGTCCAAATGAACTAAATTCGAACGAAAATAATTTCAAAAGATCTTCATGAGAAGTATTCAGGAGGACAAACTTTTATTTAAAATTTAATTATACTTATTAGAAGTGTTCCAATGATGTCACTTGCGGAAGAAACCTTTGTTACAACATAACACTCCTTGGAGAGTTTGTGAAGACCCTCTACGTCCCTGTGGGAGGCCAAAGGGACAAGGAAGGGGCCTCCCTTCAGCCCTCCTCCAAACCCCCGTCAGCACTGCGCCTCTCCTTCCTGGGACCCAGATGGACAGACGGAACAAAAAGCAGACTGTTTTAGGGCCCTTTGAAAGAAAATCTGTCCCCAAAAACAAAGCCTGGGGAAAATCGCTTCTCTCCACACAAAACAATTTCACGTGTCATTTGGAATTAGCACAAACAAAAAGGAGCAATGGCAGCCATTCCCCATCTCTTCCTCCTGTCTTTATTCCTAGCTCCCTCAAGGGAAAGAGTCGGTCTCGACCTGCATTCAACTGGTGTAGCAAGCTGACAAAAGTCACTGCCTCTAAGAATGAAACAGAAAGTTCATCTGTTCAGTATTTACAGCCTTGTGTATTCCTCACCATTGCCAAATATTTCCACTTTCAGATGAGGAAATTGAG